TTGTAAATAATTCTGTTCATGGTCTTTGCTCAAGGTGTAAATTTTATTTTGGGCCATGAGAACAATATTAAATTACTATTATAATTTATAATATAGTTGCAATACCATCGAAACGCAACAATAGTTTTATCGGACATCCCCGCGATTATGGCGTCGTTTATTTTTTATCCGATCGTAATTAAGCGTACACGCATGTACGCTTTCACCTCTTGTTTAACAGCTAATAACGGAAGTCTCTATGTAATTTCTTACACGGTCGCTTCCGGCGGTATTATTCCTCGACGCGCGAATGCTTCACAAGAATTGTTTGGCCGCCATAATTCGGTCGAAACAATTCGACAGCGATTATGCAATTTGGTGAGAACTTGCACGCCAAGCAGACACGCATAAGTATCAATTCAAAAGTTCATGAATTTTTTATCAATTTTTACTTGCAAAATTAGGAAATTATCGCACAGTATTTTTTACTATACTTTCGAATCTTTTGTCCAAGAAACGTATATTTATACGCGTTTTGACGGTAACTATAAATTTTGTCATCCACGGAAAATCAAAATTGTCGTTAAAAAAAAATTTCACCATCGAAGGCAAAAAATATTTGTTTAATCAAACTCTCGTATTAATATCGCTAAATAATATCGAAATGTTTTTATTTTATTTGATGTATGTCGAGTGTAAAAAATTCCCCCTCTCCCCTATCCTCTGATATCGTAAAATTGTTGGTAATTAAAAGGAAACTAACGAATATCGCGAACAGAATATATTTTTTTTATCGAGCAGGACTGTTATCAACATAAATGTTCTTTGCGCAACGCCTAGGCAATTTCCAGCGAATACAAATTCGCAATCGTGCAAACTTGATGACACCCAGACGGCACATTACACAGAAATTACATAGGCCTGTCCCAAGGTTTGAAAACCTAGGTCTAATACAAAAATTGTTCGTGAAACCACAGTCAACTGACTCTTCTTTACCAAGGTTCTTTCGCAACTGTACTTTCCGCTCGTTAGAAACTTTTCGTGCTCGGAGGAAGGAACGATTAGGCTCGACACGAGAAAGGGCATTTAAAGCAGTTTATGAAGCAACGAAAATTTACTGACGAATTTTTAAATGAGGCTATTTCGCCTGCAGGATTCTGATACAAGGATTCCCATTTATTCGGCTCGGGAGTCGATTCAGGAACCCAAGGGCCCCACATAGAAGTAAGGCCCCGCTTGGAAGTAAGGCCCCACTTAACCGAAATTCTCCCCACCAGACTACTGTCGAAGCAGTGAGCTCAGATGTAGGGGAACATTGACTTCAATGGGGTTTTCGACTTGGCTAGTTGGCAGGAAGTCTCGCTTCTTCCGAAGGACATCTTCCTCCTTCGATCTCTTCGAAGACTTTCAAAACGATCAAGATTTACAAGATTTCTAAGACGATCAAGAATTTCTCAACATAGAGTCTGTATTGCAACACAAAATGAGATTCGAATCCCACAACTATAAGTGTAAATTGCTCTAAATAATTTCCCAGATGCATCAGAACCCCCCACTATCACTAACTATAGAGTACATATTAATTGTTTTCTAATGTTCACATTTTCTTATCACACCTTGATCCTTCTATGAAACCCAAAAATTAAATCAAATTAAATTGTAGCAAATTAAATTAAATTAATTTTAATTAAAGTTAAATTTTGACTTGTTTTATCTGACCCCGCCATCACTAACTATAGAGTAAATATTAATTGTTTTCTAATGTTCACATTTTCTTTATCACACCTTGATCCTTCTATGAAACCCAAAAATTAAATCAAATTAAATTAAATTAATTTTAATTAGAATAAAATTTTGACTTTTTTTACCTGACTATAATCGACTGCTAAAAATCAATTGATTTCTTACCAAAGTTTGTCAATTTTTAAATGAAGTTTGCGTTGTTTAAAGTACAGAACAAGTATCCAAATCTAAATAACGGTTGTTATCTCCCCAATGATTTCGTGTTGATCTATATATGTATGTATTTTTCTTTCATTAAGTTTATAATCGATGCAATTTGCAGGAAACAAACACGACGACGAATTATCCAATTCGGCAATTATCCAGTTGCCCCGCAAGGCAGGAGAAAATTGAGAAGTCGTTAACGAACACGAGGAATAAAATGGTAGGGAAACTTGGTTTCCATATCGGGCGAAATTGTATTGTTCAACACAAATTATGTCATACGGTTTTCCTGCAAAGTAGCAACATCCAGTTGAAACCTTTCACTCGCGTTCGGTCTTTCGTTATTACGAAATTCATTGCATCGGGAAAATCTGTTCGATTGGGACTCCGTTCGAAGTTTTCCGCCATGATAAAAATGTACGTTGTTCGACGATATTCTTTTAAATTATGTAACACATTGACTGCTTGTTTTTCACTATTAAAAATGTATTCAACATGCATTCTTTTGAATGATGCACTGACAATTTTATAGGATTCTTGAAATACTATTATTTAAAAATTTATAAGAATTAGGGATCATTACAAGTGTTTGAGAGAATGGTTGGAAGCTTGAAATTCCAATCAATGTGTTAATTATTTATGCCCCGAGTTAATCAATTATTATGTCCCGAGACAAACGAAGTTTCGAAACAGTGAACATTTTATACATCGATAGAAAATTAATATCAGCTCGAGACGTCCACAAAGTGACCATTTAAACGAATTACAGCCAAGAAGGGGAAGCAACTCGCCTCGAACGCTCAGAAATGCTCGATAAAATGAAATACAAGACCCGTGGCCTGACAATTTATGGACGATAGTGCGCGTGACCGTGCGAAGGAAGAAAGTTCGTTTCGAGCATCGCACGAGGAAGAGAATTCATCGCCATCATCGAGATACTCTGGTTCTACCTGTGTTTCGTAGAAGCCTAGAAATGGATCGTGATGACGTAAACACTAATTAAAATCTCCGATATAGAACTCCCGTATCTTCATACCACTGCTAAATTGCACATCAGCATCTTTAACTTTAATTTTTTTGTGGATGAATAAAAATTGTAATTATTCCGAAAAAAAGCAGAACATACACTTAAGGTTTTCTGCAAAATATTTTGTCCTTTCTTGACCAAAAAATAGTAAACTATTCCCCGAAGAATAGCAAACAGAACCACGTAATTAGATTCTGAGGATTTCACAGTTAATATCTTTCGAAGTTAGAAAGAGCGTTTAATAAGTAGAAATTGTGAAAAATGATTCGAATGAAAAAAATTGTAATTATTAGGAAAACAAGAGAGAATATAGTTTCAAAGTTTTATTACAAAATTGTTCACAGTTTCTAGGCCAAAGAATAGTATTTTTCAAAGAATAGTAAAGAGGACCACGCAATTAGCTGCTGAGGATTTCACAGTTAATATCATCAAAGGCAAACGTTCGTATTGACTAATAACTGATCTAAACCGGAGCGATTAGCCAAGGGACCGATACGCTTGCATCCCGAGTATTAGCATATCTAATGAGCCGGCAAAGAGAAATGCGTGTACTCCGGAAAAACACGAACGACAGGTTATCGGAGCATGATCGCACTTTGCGTAAGCCTCGGCAAAAAAGGTAATTGAAAGATTGCAGATGGAATGGGAGGCTCTCCGCAGGCGGAGATCAAAACTTTCGCTTCATACTCGCCTCTTGCGTCACACGGATAGTCTTGCACGGTGACGTTTTAGGGTCAGATAGTTGGAATAAAAATTGTTTAACAAACATCTTCCTACAGCAGTTCAACTCCTTCCCACGTGATAGATCGAATTAGAGCGACCTTCGTTTACTGCACGTATTTTTTGCGGGACTTTCATTCACGCTAACCGTTCGATTCCTCTGAGTCACCCTGAACGCATAAATTATTATGGAAAGAAAAAAAGAAAAGTAAAAATATTCAGTACCATGTACTTTCAATGGAATTGAAGAAAAAACTGTGGAAGTAAATATTACTCGTGTTGCAATTTAATTTACTTGGAACTGATTGTTTCCATTGTTTTCATATCTTTTACCAAGCCAATTAATAATGTTGCATTTTTTCCAGTATAAAACCGTTTTATCATTTCCGAAACCACCCATCAAGATTTTAAAAGAGTCCTTTCTCTTCCAAATCTTCGTTCGAAGATCGAATTGAATTGGAACTCGTTTTCAACGAGGAGAAAGGACGAATACTCGGCTCGTTTTCATAGCCCTAAGCCATTCGAAAAAGATTCCCACACGCGAATCAGGAAATTTTAAAAGAAAAATAGAAGAGTCCTTTCCCGAAGTTTCATATCATTTTATATAAATCACACAATTAATGTAAATAAATTTGTGAATGTCATCGAGTAATCCGAATTTAAAAAGAAGAATTCAAAAATTATTTTTCCCCTCTTCAGCGGCGCGTTAACTTTGATTCAAACAAAAAACGATCCGTTGATTTCGTTTCTATCGAGAGTTTTGTGATTTTTGCACACTCGGTGAATTTGTCCCACTACGCCAGCACGAGAAGCGGTAAGAGAAGACAGAAGTGGGTTCATTCTTCAGCGACGTTCACCGTTCTGTTCGTCTCCCACCTGGTCTTTGCGTCGGGAACTCTTCCCCTGCTGTACAAGTAAAACTCTCAGACGTTTTCCGATCTCTAACAGTTCCGAACCCGTCCTCGCCAACGTGCGAACTAGTCAGCTAACCAGAGTCTGATGCCTCATCGCCATTGTTCAACCGCGACCTCCGAATACGGGGCAACTATCGCCGGAAATAATCATAGATACCCCCTCTGGTAATAAGAAATCGTTCGAGGAATATTCGAATTCCGTTTTCGGGTGGATACGGTACGAGATACGTCGAGAATTCGGAACCCCACCTCGGTAGAACCGAGGAACAAGTGTTACTGTTCGTTCCATCCGAGTTTTTGATCGCAAGGAAGACAAGAAGTGGGATTCGATGTTCCCGGGGTGAAGTTTTACGAAGAACAGAGTATATTTTAGTGAGATCGATCGAGAATCGAGGAAAGGGATCGCCGACGCGATGAGACGGAAGAGCGCGCTGTGTTTCCTGGGGATCGCGGTGATCCTGAAGATGGAGTCTCTGGTGGCCGGCGAGGCCGATCCAGCGATCTTGTCCGGGCCCGATTTAACCCACTTCCAACAGGTAAAAATAATTACCGATAGCAAGTCAGTTCGTTTCGATCGTCTTCGATTTTGTAACGTCGATTAACCAGGATAATTGCCAAGGGAAAGAAAATGTAATTCCACGCGGAACAGAAAGAGAATTGCACGAGAAACACTGTGCTTTTGTGTATTTTCTCACTATTGTGCACGGCGAGAGCGCGGAATTATTTGCAAGCCCCCCCTCCCCTCTACCCCAGAAACGACAGCCATAATTATTCGTGCCCCCGACAATAAAGAAATTTGCAAGTCGCGGTCGGAGATTTGGATTAATTAAGCAAATCGTGAAATTCCACGAGAACTAAAATATAAAATAAATTATCGTAGTCCGATATAACTCTCTATCTTCCGGTATAATGATAGGAAGAAATAATAGAACTTTGAGGCGCCCCTTGAATTAACGCTAGAGCTACCTACAATTATGGTGTATTTGTTTCTACCAAAGACATTGAAACGATGTTCATTTATTCTGTTATAGGAAATTACGGTTCTGCAAAATTGCATTCAAGTAAAGTAACAATTTTTATTAGAAAATAAGAACTTCGTAGAGTGTTGTTTCGACCCTTAAATATAACAATTATTTAGTATCTTACTTTAAGTATTTCTTATAGTTCTGTATATCGAATGCGTTCTGTAGCTTTTCGAGAATAAAAATTTCCCATAAATGCATGAACATCCGCGGCCTATTAACGAGCCAGGCGTTTTAATTCCGCCAAGTAAAAATTCTTTGGAAGAGATCGCGTTAAACAATTAAATATCAAGCATCACACCGTGGATGAAATTCGCAGGTAGCACGTTTCAACGTGCAATTAAATCTGTTTCGAGATTTCTCCGAGTCCGGTAAAATGTATATATCGTGTAGCACGTATTTGCAATAGGTATGCAGATTTGATGAAATTACTCCGGGCCGGCACTCGCGTCTGACGTAATCAGGCCATAGTATACTACGTACACCCTTTCGCATGGCGGGCATAGCTATCTTTCCCGACAATCGTGCGCAAGTTTCACTGGTAAAGTGGTAAACCGACAAAAAAATTCTGTGCCTCCACAGTTAATTGTGCTCGCTCTGTTAACGCGCGACTTCCTCGCCTAGTATTCATCTGCATCGTTTCTGATCCCCCTCGATTTCGATTTCGATTTCACTCGCACGTTTCCGTACGATCTTTATACTTTCACGATACACGCCGGAGCTCTCCAACTTCCAAGCTCTGGAATCGAGGCTGTTCTACCAGAAGTATACATACGAAAACAATCCACAAACTACGCGCTAAAACAACCAAAAAATATCCTGGCTACCTTGGTTTTACACTTTGTCTTTTTATTAATAAAATTAAAAAATGGTAGTTTGAAGAGGGTTGTTTCAACCCTTAAGTATAATATTCTGTATCTTACATATAAATATATAAATGCACAAACATCCACAATCTATTTATGAATCTAACTAATCTACTCTGGGTCCCATTTCAACCTTCCATTAAAAAATTAAACGTTTTAAAACTATCGTTTCTATTATTGATTTCTTTTTCTATTATAGCTTGTAGAACGTCTTTATTTTACCTAACATTTATTAAGACAATCAAAGTCAAACTAGTTGACTCTGGGCCCCATTTCAACCTTCCACTAAAAAATACCAAGATGTGCTCAATAATCAGATGGTTAAAGAAGAATTAAATGTGCCAAAAAAGGTTTCGTTTCACCGTAAGATTTATTGCAACAATCAGAATTCTACTACTTAAAAAAAAAAAATAAGTTTACTTTTAATACTTCTTTCACCCTTATTATTTAATATCTCAAGCTATGTATTCACCAGTGTACTATTCATGTCATTGACCTAGTCAACATATTTACTAAAAATTCTCCAATGGAATTGATTGTAAATTTAGTGGTGTGATAAATAAAAAAAAAATAATGTTAAAAGTCATGTAACTTAAAATAATATTCATTCGTTTTATTAACAAATACCAAGTGTTCAACTGGGTCGTTGACTTCGTATAATTGAAATCAGAGCTAACCAGCCGTACAGTGTTTCTATTAATGATGTTATGAATAATAAACATCAACCTACACGAATTTAATTCAATAATTATGGTTGAATATGAGTTGTTACTTTGGATCATAGTTAATATTTATATACGAGTTTAGGTTAGAAAATTAATTTGAACGATCTCTATTCGTCTAAACGTTTAAAAAGATTTTTATCGTTATTCTTAATCTTTAATGGGAGCTAGAGGGTTGTTTCAATCTCCAAAATATAATAATTTCTATCTTACTTTAACTATTTCTTATATTTTCTTGTATTAAGTGAATTCTGTAGTTTTGTGGGAATTAAAATTCCCCATAAATGCATAAACATCCACAGATTAATAATAAACAATCTGAGGCCGGATATTGGGGGGAGTGGCACATTTTACACCCTTCTAAAAAATTATTTATTGTCAAGGACTTAAAATAGTAGCCAGGATATTCGTAACTTAATTTGAAATGTTCCAACGTAAAAAAATCGTTGAATTGATGGAAAATTTACGAGACGCTACAGCTAAAAATAAAGCGGTTGTCCCATCTGCGGGAGAAATCTAGCAGTCGGAATCAGAGGCATAAGAGAGGTCAGAAGTCACTCTGTTAGTGGGTGAACATCTTGGTCCTACTTTCATATACGCTATCATTCGCGTTCATGCTGCACCGTGCACCTGGCAAATGGCGGATAGTGTCATTATGATTAACAGCCCACGGAGGAAGGAAAGAAGACACCTGACAATTACGTTGAATCAACCAACAATCGTTGCTCGTTTAAAGAAAAGACTGGGAACGAATCGACCATGTCTCCAAATTAGAAAACGTTCGCCTGGCACACTAGCACATAATACTAAAATAAAAAAACGATATTCTACCAGGATTACGATAAATAATAATAATAATAATAATAATAATATTAGCGCGTGACGCGTATCTCTTTTTATAATAATAAATATCGTAAAATTCCTCGCGTTTCACCTGACCGGGAAGGGAGACCATAATGCATATAACAGGCGTTCAAAGCATAATCGCCGGGTAATTGAGGATGAAGAGAAGGCCGACGGCACCGATTAAAGAAACCGGAGTCGATCGAAGATCCTTTCACTCTCGATCACCCGGAATGAAGGAAAGACGGACGCCTTCGATGAGCGCGTCGTGCATGGAAACGGAAGTATTAAATAGTGACATCCTATCGGCGTAGCTTCCGGTTACTCTTCGAACTTTCAATTTCACGGATGCCACCGCAGCCTGTTAACGCGAGAGAAACCGTTCGAAAACGGGAATCCTTCTGGAGTATGCCTCGTGTCGGAGATCTGAGCCGATAAACAACGTGTTTTCGCAAAGTTTATCGTCGCGTTTAGTGAAAGTACGGTGATAAAAAAAGTACCGGAAGCGCGAGGAATTCTAGAAAGACGACTCGCTTGACCGGAGATCCTCGACGGAGGTCAACGATGACGCCTTTGGGCGTCTTCGTTAACTTATTATCCTGAAATTTAATTGCTTTTCCATGATTATTGAGTTAATAAATTGCTGGTAAATTGGTTAATTTTCTCCTGTGCAAATAAAGGATTAAAAAAAGAATATTTGTGAGAAACGAAAACTTTCTATCGACGTAATATTGTGTCCTTTATTCGAAGGCCAAACTGAGAACAGTCTACGTGAAAAGATTAATTTGCATTGTTTGCAGAAAAGAAAATAAAAGAGTAAGGTTCTAAGTTTTCAATAAATCAATAAATAACTCTGTGCACTGCCATAAGTGTTGGGACACTTGGTCGAAACGTTCCTCAGATTATTTTAAAAGCTGAATCTACTTTCCACGGCCTCAAGTTAAATTTTCTCAAAGATTTCCGCCAAGAAATTAATAAGAAAACAAAGAATGTATCGATCTAATGAATCAGACAATTTGACTGCTGTCGATATAATTTGGATTTAGATCAAGTGAAAAATAACAAAAGCAAAAGATGAGAGGAGTTACGAGGTATGGAAATTAGTTGCTTAGAGTTAAATGGAGATGTACTGGTCTGGCACACATGATCTGCATATCTTGATGGCCTGCTCGTCGCAGACAGCCGTTTTACATCTACAGAAACCTAGTTTTGTTTCGCGATCTTTTTCACGGCTACATATTTGGAAACACTTTCGTCCCGGCAAACTTTCTCGCCACTAACTGTTCCATATCCGCACTATTTTATTTAAGTTTCGATATTAATAAATAGAATTTACATCCTAGCTCAGATAAACGCAGAAAGAAATTTTTTTTTTAAATGTTTCAGTATCAGACACAATCGCAGAAAAAATTATTTCTGCATTTGCTGTATTCAGAATGACATGAGACATCAATATCGATCATCTTTCTGTTATTATTACATCAGAGTAATTATTACTTATCTGATCGATAGTATCAACGTCTATCTTCGTTACATAATAAAAGAAAATCGCATCGCGAGTATACCTATCTCGATAATTCGATATAAATAATTTATAAATACGTGGAGTATGTTAGTGGTGAGACAGAATATATGTATAAATTTCAATAATTATGCTTTCTTCGATCGGAATGAGTCGCGTCGGTGCTCTCACAAGCCACGTTGTCTCTTTACTTTACAATGTGTGCTTGCTCAGACAATATTGGCATATCGTTTGACGCATTCATAATTATTCGTTTGAAAAGTATACAAAACCAGATACTATGTATTTATCTATTACAAAGCAATATTTGTCAAATATCATCTTTCTAAACTTCATTCATTCTTTTCTAATTATTAACAATGCAGGTTTTACATTTCAAACTCAACTTTCTGTAAATCAAATCATACTTGTAATTTTATTCTTTCTTTTAAATTGAACTCTACAATCTTGACTGAACTATACAGTTCTTTTGGTCTCTACAAAAAAAATATGAAATATTTATATGAAAAATATTTAAAGTTTACCAAATTATTTTACTTTAAACTGGTATAACCTTTGAATTATTAAATTTAGGACATTGGTACTTTAATACTTTCTAGTAAAGAAACATTTACAGAAAGTTGAATTTGAAGTGACTTTGCAACCTGTATTATTAATAATTGATAAAATTTCAAAAAAAAAAAAAACGTATTTCAAAGTCAGCGAATCACAAATAGTAACTCTGTCAAAGGATCGAAATTCGACGTCAAAGAAGTTTTCCTATTAATTATTTATCGACGCGAACGTTGCTCGCTATTTATAAACTGCATGTGTTTTTTTTATTTGCTATGAGAAATTATTCAGAGCGTGTCGCAAATGACTCTACCGCAGACTGCAAATCATTCTAATTATTATAAACGCACGCAGTCTTCGAGGCATTGTATTATAGAGGAGTTTCAAAAGCGTTAAAAATTAAGATAAATTTAATCAGTCAAGTAGAAATCGTACTCAGAAGTAAATTTGCGAAATTAATTATTAAGTAAAAGTGATTTTTACGAGGGGGAAGAAGCTGTTACTATCGTGAATTAAAATGCACCTATCGTGTGCATAATTTGTGTTAAATAATACACGTTTCGAGTCGTAAATACCATTCGTGATAAGAAATAATAAACCCGGGGGAAAGTATGTAAAATATACGGTTCGAAGATTATTAGAAATATATTTGTGGAACACTTTTACTGATTTTGAAACACTGAAATAATGTGTTTCGGTAGATATTCTTTGTAGAAATTCTATCTCGGTCGTATTCATTGATATTTAACACTTGGGGCATTGTTTATTGGAGCCTGAATGCATAGCTCGATGCCAAGTGTCAATGTCCCGATTCGATCCAGCTTTTTCGAGGACACGAGGCGGGATCAAGGCGAACATATTCGAGACAATAGGTGAAGGTGAAGAATGCCTACGTGTTCTCTCACTTTCTCCAGAAACCTTACAGATTAACTGATTTCAGCCAACGAACGGACTCGTCGCGGTTTGAATCTCGAAAAATCCTCTTTGCAATTCTAAAATCATCAAGTAGACTGCAACTTTTTACTTTTGACGCGTCCAATAATTTTTAATTAGCAATAATTTCTCCGAGAAGCGTTTGAAATATTTGTAAATGCACAAAACGATATCGCGAACAATGACAATTTGATTATTGCCGGCGATTTTTAACGTACGCTCAAAATTAATAAGGAAGCTAGTTTCGAAAGTCGTGGGAAGAGGAACCGATAAAATATTGCCGACTTTCACTGCGCTTTAACAGTGGCTCGTTATTCCCGGTGTCGTTAAAAACATTTCGTGCATAATTCACGGATTATAAATTTCGTGGAGAGGCCAATCACGAACAATGATCGCCGGGACGAGTATTCGCACGGAAACGAGAATTATCTCGTCTTTGGCGACATTGTTGTCATAACTGGGAATAATTAATACCGACAGCCCAACAATACACCCTTTAATTACTTAACTGACGAGAAATTAATACGTGACATGCGATGAGTATGAAGTAAGAACTTTTTTTTTTTACTCGATTGTTACATCAAAATCAACTACCAGTTGCAAAATTAATTTAACTTCCGAAATTAAAAATATATAGTCGCTCACCCAGCGGACTGGAAAAAGCTCGTAACTCCTTTGCTATTAACACGTTAACTGCCTGTTTTCCATATCCAGAAATGTCCTCGGCGTTTGTTCAAATTATAGCCTGAAATAGAAATATTTGTTAATCGAACGGTGAATTTGTTATTTTACAATATTTCAAATTAATGTAGCGTTATTTACAACTTTACAAGTATTTCTTCCATTGTAAACAATATTGCAACACTATTGTTACTATTTTGTTTATCGCTTAGATTCTCCAGTTATGGATTATTTTTCAATCGCAAAACCCGAATACATACACGATATAAATACGTCTACTTGGTTTCTACTCGGTTTATCGCCTTATCACTCTAAAACTGTGCCTTTCCCGCCTAATATACTTAAACCATTTCGTGCTTGAAATATAAAATTATCAAGAAATATCGTTACACAGATTTCGATCGAACTCAAATCCGGTGTTTTGGACGACCTCTGCACGATTTTAAGCACCTATGATCTCCAATTATGTTTAATAATTCTGACACACTTTTGCACTGTGTTTAAGGCAATTGTCTCCTACAAAAACACAGTTAATTCGCAGTAAGTAAATTGCAACGATGAATTTACATTTTTGTTACTAAAAAAAGGGTGTAGGATTTAAAATGGGGCACTCGACGGTGACCTTGGCCTTGACTAGAGGTCGATTTAAAATCAATTTAATAAAATGATAGCAAACTGGTAGCAAAAATAGAAGTTTACGTTAAAGTCTAACTAACCCTAACTTTGACCTCTACATCAGGGTCAAGATCATCAGATACCCCATCTTTAAACCTACTTTTCATTCTTGGGTCCTGATACTTTACCTGACATTCTATTATACAAAAATACTGTGTTCAATTGTTTCAGATGATTTTTACCAATTACTTATAAATATTATATACTATATATTAGTTATAAATATATACTACCACTTTGCAATTTATATCTCGTAAACCTTCTAACATCCTGGCGTCTTACGTTCAATTATTCGGTGCTTGACTTGAAATTTACCGGTAGTATATTTTACGTTCTATATTTCCAGAATCGGTGCGTTTCATAGTCGATTATTTTACGATCGAAAGTAAACAAATGATTGTCGTAATACCGGCGGGACAAAAAACAATCGAACAACGTAAAAGCGACGGTTCCGCGGCGGTTAGAAATTTTCCGCGAAATGTGAAAGAAAGCGAAAGGTGGCAAAAATCTTCTCCATTCGGCCGAATGCCAGAAAGTCCGTGAGCCTGGTGAGCGTGAAAGTGAAGGAGCACCCGTTATATAACGGGAATTGTTTGCAGCGCCGCGTGTTTCGCGATGAATTCGATCGTATATGCCGATACGCGATTATGCCACGAGTATAGTATAATACCGTAGCACATATACTGTTGCAAGAATGTAATCACAAAAGAAAATATGGAACAGTTAAAACCAGGAAAACCACTTTCTGATATAATTTCTCTAGGAAGCACAACTTTCAAATTTTCAATCGTAACGCCCGAGTAACCATTTTCCTGTTCGATTATTTTCTGGGCATTTTCTTGTAATCGTTGAATCGAGTTTTACTTGAATACAAATTTAAATCTTAATAAAAAGGTGTTCCAAATTTTTAGAGAAAGGAAATATTGAAGTTTGCCACCTTCAGTTGTGGAGAATAATATTTGAGAAAAGTAAGACCAAAGAGACACGTAATTATTTTCTAGAAATCTTTGTGAGCAAACATTTATCTACACATTCTCTGATTCTTCATTGTTATTCTTCCACAACTTTCTCGACCGTTATAACGTAACCCCATCTATTGCTATCCTACTTGTAGCAAACCGTTCACCGGAGTTTTAAGAGTCCACATAACCGCCATAACCGCTTAAGGCATTCCCTCGACGCCAGACGAAGGAAATGTACGATCACCGATCCATAGAGTCCGTTTGGACACGAGATATGCACTTTTTGCTCGTATCGAGGATCGTTGAAAGTTAGAAATAGGAAGCCACGCCCAGAATAAGCGGCCAGCTTCTCACATCAGCTGTGGGAAATCCGCGGACTGGTCTGCGATCACTATCCGCTGAAGAATTCGATGGATAATGCTTCCACCTTGTAACATAATGATTTAACTATAACCTAATCGCTCTTACGCTGTTTGGAGGGTTACGTCCCCTCGGGTGTCGTCGTTAAAATCCTCATGGTTGTTAAAAGATTGCCCGCTTAAAAAGATTTCCGTTCGTGATTGTTGAAACGAATTATATTATAAGAGTACACAGTGGAATGAAAACCGAGAACAGTCGTACTTTCTCGAATCCAAGGAGATTGTCTCACAGTCTTGGTAAACTCGAGATGGGGAAGGGAAAGAGAACAATGCGCCGGTTAATTGCAACGATACTAATTGCATCGAACTCTCTTTCTTTCTTTCTCGTACCGAGTTGATTATGAACTAACTCGATCGCAAGATTTTCTTGAAATTAATAACTCAATCTATAATCCCCGCTGTACTACGGCTATAAAGAACGGGACAGGCTGAACATCTCACATTTTCCAACTAATTAAAACCTTTTTCTGAACTATCCAGGGTCGACAATCTCACGACCCACGACCACGTCTCTCGGCTTCTCAACAGGCTCAAATACTCAGCGACGTTCAACAACACCAACAACGTTACAGACGACCGCCGCAAGATGCCAGCAAACAGCAAACCGGCGGATCGTACCCGTCCCTGGCAAAGTACAAAGTGGACCGCTCCAAACAGCAACAGATTCAACATCTGTTGCAGCAACAGCAGCAGGTGCAACAGCTGATCCAACAGCAGCAGCAGAAGATAGCGCAACAGCTGAGCAACACGAATTACCTGGGAAACGTTCAGACCCAGCTTCAGCCACAGAAACAGCAACAATTCAGCAGCCAGTATCAAAGCGCCAACGGCCAGTTTCAGAATCTTCAACAGGACCTGTCGCAGCCACTGTTCAGCGACCAGCACCAGGTGCAGTTGCAGGAGTATCTGGAAAAGCAACGCGAGTTGGAATTAGTGCAAAAACAAAGGCAACAACTGTTGTTGGAGCAGCAGGAACTGCAACGGCAACAAGAACTGCTGAGGATCCAACAGCTTCAGAAACTCACGTCGACGACCTCGTTGCCCACGCCTGTCGCCTCGCCGAGCACCATCTCCGTCAGCACCACTTCCTCCCCAGTTCTGGTGTCGCTGCCCACGGCGAGGAAGATCACTCCCTCGGAAGCACAGCTCTTCCTGAAAGCAATCGCCACTCATCAGAAGAAATACTCCACAACGCCGATCTCGGCGCCCACGACAACAACAACGACGACGACGACGACAAGCAGGCCTGTGACGACTGTTTCGCCTAAATACTATCAGGAGAAAGTAACGGACAGCCCAAATATCCCGGAGAATCTCCTGAGCTTGATTCAGGATCAGGAGAACAGATTTGCGCAACAGGGCAAGCAAAAGCCTCAGATCAAAGTGATTTATCAGACCGAGAAACCAGCGACGGAGAGAACAGCGAGTACGAAGATCAGGTCTGCCTCTTTGGGCTCGGAACGGGATGTGTTGCTGAAACAACTGAAGCTGGCCTTGGCTCAATCCGTCGAGGACGATGTCAGGAACGTTAGCACCAGAGATATCGTTCTTCCTAACGGAAAGAAGATTCAATTCATAGACGCGCCGAGTGACCCGTCCTCCGTTATTCCCACGAGTACCTCGAATTTCTCGACTACCATAGCATTGAGCGCCCCGACGACCACTATTAAGCCTCCGAAACTAATCCTCGAGGAGCTAACGAAGGGTGTGCTTCCGCCAGGGGCGGATTTCGAGGTCATCAGGCAGAAGAGCGACGGGAAACTAGAGGAGATCGGCAAAGCGCCGATTCAGAGCCTCCCAGCGAAGAAGGTTACGTTTGTCGTGTTAGAGGAGCAACCTGACGGCAGCTACAAAGTCCAAGGGGTCAAAGGGAACGCGGACAAAGAGGGAGGTGACGTGGACTCTATCGTGGAGAAGATCAAAAAAGGGGAACTGAAATTACCACCGAGTTCCTCAAATCCGGCGACTGTGTCCTCGCTCGAATCTCTGAGAACTAGCTTCAATACTGACCTACCATCCACGAGGAGCTCATCGATATTGACTCAGAACACTGGTCCTACGACCTTTAGGCCAACCACCGCCAGGTCCACTTCTCTTTCGCCGAGGTACATCGAAAGGTAATTACTCTATCGTTAGATTTTTGGGATTCTAGTTCTAAGTAGTCCTAAAATATGAAGGAAAATCTCCTGAATATGTTCGTATGCGTATTATAGCTATTAAGGATTTTGATTTTGGATCATTGTAAATGTATATCAAAATTTGGCAAGGTGCTACTTATGACCTAAACCTGGTGGTTAAGTAAAATTAAACTTGATAACAAAGAGAAACACCGCTGTAAAAAGCAAATTACTTTTAACAGAAGCACGTACAGTAAAATGAAAATATGTAGTTGTACCCAAACTTTTGAAACAAAAATATGAAATACAAAATAGTCTAAAGCGTTAAACGAAATGTCTTTTCGCAGCAGACCCACGGAATACTTCCCCCATGTGACGATCTCTCCAAATTCAGTTTCCTCGACGGACAAATACGTGTCGTCAGCGTCTAGTGTCGCTAGCCACGTGTTCAATTCGCTGAGCACCGTGAACACCACCCCCGGTCTGACCCCTGTGAACCAGGACAACCGAGTCACCGCGAAATATTCAACCTCCACCAGGAGTCACTTCATCCCAACGATGGCCCCCGTCAATGAAATCATTACAACGACACCGTCCTCGGTGCAGACAACTTTCCCGCATCATTCAACCAATTCTTACATTCACTTCGCCTCCAGACCGACCAGTGAAACTCCCTCGGAGCTCAGGCCAATTTCTACTACCGCGAGACCGACCACCTTACATAACGAAAATATCATTTACCACGAGGGCTTCGAAAAGTCCACCTTCTCCCCTCCGACGGAATTGCCTTCCGGGAAAAGTCAGGTCCACGACAGTCTGTCGACGTTGTTGAAGAGGGAGGGGCTGTTCGCCATGACCAAATACTTGAGACAATCGGGCCTCGACAACGTGTTGAACGAAACCGGTGAGTAGACACACATTTTCTGAAAACACAAGAACATCAATTTTGCCATCAAATTTCACGGATCAATTTTTCTAACGTTTATTTTAATTCGAAAGTAAGTAGTTTCTATTTTGGTTGATTGATAAAAATTCCTGCCAAGAGAGATAATTCCTTATGTTTGCTTTTAAAAGAGATGCAATTAGGGCACAATTTTTAGGGAAATTAAATTAAAAACTTTTCTTCGATACGCGAGTATACATGAAGACCCAGTTGTTAGGATCACCCTATACGTGATGCACTTATGGCAATTACTGTTACGACGGCGTCTTATTCTTTACGCGACCGGTCGTTAATTCCCACCGGTCGGTTTTAGTCGTGGAACGTTCATTGGAAAAATGTTCTCACGGATAAACGAATATTTCGACACGGTTGCTTCTTCGCCGAGAACAATGATATCCGTTTCGTCGTTGTAAGAATCTTTAAAATTATAAATTTGCAATTTGCAATCATCGATACACCTCGAACTGTCGCGTTAATTGCCCTACATAACGTTCTATCCTGGACAATTTATAAGTCAGTCATCGGTTTTGCAATTACCTGCTAATTACTAATTGGATTCTATTGAACAGTCAATCACGATGGGAACAATGCTAAGAAACTACGGATCGATTTCATATTGAGTGATCCTTAACTGTCGTAAAAGCTACAAAAGTATTTTTTAAGCAACAAAGTGAAAACCCATACAAAGACCAGAAGGGTTTCCAATAATTCCAGATAATTACAAATATAATCGTTCCCTAATTTCCATATACAGGGTGTTCGGCCACTCCTGGGAAAAATTTTAACGAGAGATTCTAGAGGCCAAAATAAGTCGAAAATCGAGAATACCAATTTGTTGATTAATTCACCCCTGCAACTAAAAATAATTTTTCTAGAATGATTTGAAATTTTTTAATTTCGCCGAAAAATTTTTCCGGTCGTTATGGAACTTTAAACTCTTTAAAATCTCCCACTCAAATTTTTCCCAGAGGTAGCCGAACACCTTGTATATTCTCTACCTTTTTTCTTATCTATATATTTTAACAAGTTTGGGAATCATCGATTTAAACAAAATGACTATGCTGATAGATAATTCTAATTACTGGTAGGTTAATCAAGCACAAGAATCTTCCTTCGATTAAAAGTTGAAGAAGCGTGACGATGTCATTTCACGATTCACTATGAATGACCGGATGGTAATTACTATAGCGATTGAGAAAGATGCATTCGTTCCAGCGACAGTAATAGACTTTTTATCCTTCTATTTGTCTCACAATTAGTATTGCACCAAGATGGCGTTAGAAATAATTTCTCTGATTAAAGGCATCTACAAAAAGAATATAATATTATAATGTTATTAATTCCATTAATAACTGAAACACCAGATATAGCAACACGCAGAAGCACGCAAAACAATTTGAGTTAAACTCAAAATTCGTTGGAATAAATATTGCCCCCCTCTTTTCTTATAGTTCTGTATATCAAGTGAATTCTGTACTTTTCTGAAAATTAGAATTTCCCATAAATGCATAAACATCCGCAGTCTAGCAATAAGTTTACTAAAGCTTGTGTTTAGAGAAGAATAAATCCTTATTGGATTTTTTATCGAGCCATCGCAAACTGTTTTATAAGAGACAGTCGACAGAAGTTATAATGATATTGTATATTACAGGTCCGTACACATTATTCGTCCCGACAGACAAAGCTTTTAGGACACTGTTAGTGCAACTCGGAGGTCCTGAAAAAGCGGAGCAGAAGTTTCAAGAAAATCCGAGACTCCTCAGCGGGGTATGCCATACTTTCTTAATCATTACTACCCTTAAGGATTCTTGCTGCATTTTTATCTGAATAATTAATATCGAATAATCTGTTCGTCTCTTCTAATTTAAAAGCTGGAGTATCAAGTGTCCTAGTTTTATTTTATTTTCTAATTATATGTATATATGCATACCTAATAGAAATTTTCCAGAAAGGAGACTCTTCGTCCTCGGTGCTAAAATACTCGGGCATGGTTCTTTTGTCCAAATGAATCTGTAAACATATAATTGTAAGTCGTTAATAAAATGATATATTTTATGGAAACAGCTCCTATTGCATCACGTGATACCGGGAGCGTTCAGAATCGATTCTTTGCAAGACGAAATGACCGGTGTCAGCTTGGCTGGAACGCAACTGCGAGTGAACGAATATGCGATGCACGACCATGAGTGGAACGACGTGAAGGTATAATCTTATTTCACGATTTCACGATTCTTAAAAATGGCAGAAAAACTTCCCCTAAATAGATATGCAATATTTAATGTTCGGCCACACCTGGGAAAAATTTTAATGGAGGATTCTAGAGGCCAAAATAAGACGAAAATCAAGAATACCAATTTGTTGATGGAGGCTTCGTTAAAAAGTTATTAACAATGAAATTCAAAAATTTTAAATCGTTCTGGAAAAATTATTGTCGGTTGCGGGGGTCAATTACAATCATTTTTGGTGAACACGCATACCTCCGAAATCCTATCCACTTTCGAGAAAAAAAATCGGGTAGGTGTTGAAATTTTTCGGCGAAAAAAAAATTTTTCGAATCATTCTAAAAAAATTATTTTCGGTTGCGGGGGTCAATTACAATCCTTTTTGATGAACAGACATACCCCCGAAATCTTGCGCATTTTCGAGAAAAAAATTCAGTACGGGCGAAACTTTAAACGTTAATAACTTTTTAACGAAGCCTCCATCAACAAATTGATATTCTTGATTTTCGTCTTATTTTGGCCTCTGGAATCCTCCATTAAAATTTTTCCCGTGGGTGGCCGAACACCCTGTATAGAGTTGGAATTTTATTGAATTTTATTTATGGATTAATTAATTAATCGACATACGCGTCAGTGCCAATGACACTTAGCTAAAGCTATATATCGATCATCTTTATCGATCAAATGCTTTTCCTTGATCCAATTTTCTGACCTCCTATTATGGAATGCGATAGAAACATTCCGTTCACTCGTAAATAATGCATGACATCGAACATTCTTAAAGAAAAGATCATTAATCTTTCTTATATGTTAAAACCGATCAACGTTTCGTCGAAGATGATCGTAGGATTCACCAGGAGTCGACCTACTTCGAGTTTCAAGCAAACCACGAAATTTATAATAAATACTAGTTTGCAATATTATTTCTATAATCCTACAGTTACTAAATTGTTTGTTAATTTAAAAGACTAATTTCTGGAGTTTAGCATTCTTTTTAAATTTTTATACACACAGAAAGAATGTGCAGAAGAATATTAAAGAAATCCCAAAGGACCATATGCTTGAATAAAGAATAAATTATTATACCGTCTTCCTTTTTGAAAACCGTTTAAATGGGATATCCTGTATAGAGAGGTAGATAAAGGGCGTTTATTTCTTTATTCCTTTTCATCTTTCCAAGCAGGTGACAACGATAAATGGTGCAAAAGTGGCACCAAACAAACGAGATATCGAAATCCCTCAAGGTATCGCCCACGCGGTGGACAGGGTCATGTTCCCACTTCCGGTCGGCGATTTAGTGCAAACCTTACAAGCTGATCGCGAAAAAAGATTCACGACCTTCTTAAAAATGCTCTACACCTCTGGCCTCCAGGACACTCTGTCAGGTAACCGAAAAGGAATATTTTATTATATTCAATTGAACAGGTATCGAGTTATTATTTACACTAAATCGAAAAGAAAACTCGTTCTAACATCAGTTATAACCCTCTAAAATCAAAAGAAATATGGCGCCCAAAATCTGATTAACTTTTTAGTTTGAAACATTTCTTTGGTAGATTAGCAAAAATGGATGTAAAGTGATGGTCAAATTCATTGTCTACATAGTGTATTAGGTTACTAACGAAGATGACTGCATTGAGAAATGTGCGTACAAATATGATATATTTTAGGGCCAAAGACGTTTACCATTTTCGCTCCAATGGACTCCGCTTTCGAAACAGCCACCTCGAAAGATGGAACACCGATTTGGACGGATGCAGACGGTCCTGAAGCTGCGAAAACAATCATCTCTAGGCACGTTATTCCGTCTACCCTTTATACAGCGGGGATGAGGTATTATCTTCAAAAGGACACGCTTCGTCCTCAGTCGCCCGTCCATATCCATAAAAATGGCGGTAAGTGAAACTTGGATACTCTAGGGTTGTTTTCATCCCGCCATCTGACGATAAAACAGGGAACTAGATGCGTCTAGATACTTTACATTTAATGCCAAAGAGAAAATATAACTGTGGTTGCAATATTTGAATAGAAACTCGCGATACGACGGTTGAAAATTGCTGGTTTAACAATTAATATATAAACAATTTAATTCGCTTTGCTGTTAGTTTTATTTCCCCGTAACTGATACTTGTACACAAACTGGAATCTACGTTAATACGTATTTATAATTGTACGCACATTTATTATTATGAAACATTGTTCTAGAAGTCGGTTCTGTCGCGTGAAAATGTTAGAATGTTACCTTTTATGTTGCAGGTCGAGTACGAGTGAACGAAGCACATGTTGTAACACATAATGTACCAGCAACGAATGGGGTTTTACACGCGATCGATGGTGTATTATAAACGCGCAACAACTGTTAGATCATGTTTTGAAGAATTAGTCGTTCCAACGAACATTTCAGTCGCAGACCAACCGAAATATTTAATTCGTTAAGCCAGGTACATTCTCTATTCAAATCAAAATATAATACAATTACAACGATCGTCGTTAATTTTCTGAAAAATCAACGATTTTAAATTATTTTTAATTAAAATTATAATCGCAAACGATGAAACTTTTAAGTTTGAGTTTTGCACATATCTGCCACAAATTTTAAAATACTTGAAAAGAAACACTATTTCCGTGTGTGTATAAATTAAATATCGTCCTTCCACGAGAAGAAGGCACAGCGTGTTTAGATCCCCACTCTTGCTGCAAACCGCTGATTGGCTGTCACCGATCTTCGTCGCCGTTTTCGACCAATATCTGTGAGTCAGCAGACTGCGACAGGAGCGGGGATTAAAAACACGCTGTACCTTCTCGTGAAAGAATGGTACTAAATCATTGAATCGTTAAACGTAATAAGTTATTGCTTTATAATGTCTAAGTATTTTATAAATACGAATTTTTAATACAATATCCAAATTAAATTTTTGTTTTTAATATATTCGTTATAAAAATCAAAAATCAAATACTTACGCATTGAAAACACAGTTTTTGAAAAATTACTCTGTAAAATAAACATCTGCGACTATCACAGGTTTAACAACTAATAAACAAACAAGATTTGCCATAGATGTTGCAAAAATTACATGAAAAAGAGATAATGGGACCTTTTTTATAAGGTGTGCGCATAAAAGTAGTATAGTCTGGTCCAAGAAAGAATTGACTTGAGGAACCTTCCAAAACTTATCTTAAAAATATAATACATGAAAATCTTAACATTCCTAATAAAGAATGACAGAAATATGGCAAAAACTGGAAGCTCTCAGTACTGAAACTTCCGTATCAATTAATTAAATTCTTTAATAAATTGTATTTTCACATAGTCCATTATTTCTTCGTCCCGACTGTAATTTTTAGAACGTAGTGTATATTACTCGCTCGTGTGCTTTCAGCCCTGCGGATGCGAAAAATTCATTTTTGTATAGAATGATAATGCAATACCATGATTAATATTATTGGAGTGTATTATTTTATAAATAAATGTACAGTACAATTTTCGTAAATTATTATTTTTATAATAGTATTTCGCTAATAATATGAACAAAGCACTTTCAAAGTGCTTTCCTAAAAAATAAATCGTTTGGAATTATAAGTTTTTTTTTTTAAATTAATATCACGCAACAGGAAACAAGGAGTACTGTTCGTTATTGTTATTGACAATATCTTTTAATTAGACTTCCTTTACTGTTAAAAATCTTAACGACACAATTAGTACGGAAAAAACGGACGTATTATACGACTGTATTTTCAATACAATTGTCTTTAACTATTTTTTAAATATAAGTTTTCAAATGAAATCATATTTTTATCCGCAGTTGAATATTTACAATTTATTTTGGACTAACAACATTCAGAATATTGTTTGCATTGTATTTCTTGATTTCCACTTTTATATGATGAATATTTGTCAATTGTGTTCGCGCATTTAGCGGTAAGGTATTGTGAAATCTGTGGTAATATTGCACCAGTTGTGTCATTGCACGTTGCACCAACGCCGTTCCGAGAACCAGACTAGGGAACGAGTTCAACACTTCGCGATTAATTTCTTCTAATGCCCGTTTCCAATTATTCGTGAACGATTGTACGAGAGCTAACGCTTTCCCCTCTTGCCTCTTTAAATCATCCGTTTGCCCTTTTTCGATTAACACCTCTGATTCTTTGACTAACTGTATTATACCACCAAAATACGGATTTAAAACTTCCTCGACATATTCCGCAGAACGTGCGTTTAATTGATCCCGGAAACTCTCCGCTTCCTTCGAATTATCTCGCGTTCTTTCCTAACATTTGTATCGTTATAACCAGTAATTAATTTTTATTTTCCAAATTAATATCTCACCATTAATACACCGAGAACTAAATCGTAATTATTAATGAGGAAAACTAATTGCTCGATTCTGTTAGGAAATATAGTTGCCATTCTTAATAGAAAGCACTGAACAGCTTCCCGTAACTCTGCTAATAACTGTATTGCACCTTCGCAAGGAAATCCTTCGACCACGCTAATCATCGCGGCGCTAAATTCAGCATACCTTCGCGTAATCTGTAAACAAATATCTTCGTTTCCGAACAAATATTTTTGTCTCGTTTTCCTCAAGTTTGTTATTCCGAACTTACGTAATGTGGACCGCTTTCTTTATTGAGTTTCAACGGATCACAGTCCTTTATACTTTGGATATTCATTTGAAAAACACATTCAAATCTGGAATATGCAAATGTCAAATAATACACCGAATTGCCGAATGAAATTATTAACAATACCGTTATTAATATATACCTAGGCCAAATTACCGACGTCATATTGTCCCAATATTTATCTAAAGCCGGTACTGCTCTTTTATGACACGTTAATTGATAACGCATTACCAAATGTAAACAAAGGAATAAAGCAATTGTATCGTAACAATCGTCCACAAAAGATTGCAAGTTTTTCACCATCAAATTTAATGTCTTTCCCATTACCTGCACATGACACACATATTTATGGCATTCATTCTTACTCATCTTCGTGCAAAAACGTAATTTACCTGATTAAAAATATCCATTGCTTGCACGCCGCGTACTTTAAAAAATTCGGTTAAAAACAAATATTCTCGACAAGCATTATCTACAAGGGCATATTGTTCGCTTCTGAACAAGGCTTCATAATGATACTATGGAAACAAGATACATGATTAAGTTTCCATGCTAATAATATAAAAGTAAAATATATGATTAAATTTTTATACTGTAAAAGAATTATAATAAAATCACAAAAACTTATCAATTTTACACTGTACAGTAATGATTCTTAAAATGAACCCCAGACGTGATTCGTAAGTTTAAGTGAAACGTGAAAGACGGCATTTAAAAAACTCGCTGTCCTTTTTCTCGGATGTCGACTACAGCAAAAGATAAAGGTGACTTCGAGGCTTAAGAATGTCGCTGTGTATAAATATCTGTTAATGTCGAAATTTGCCTCCGCTGTACGAAAGATGAACATGCCAAATCCATCTTAAGAATCATTACTATACTGTTTTATTTTTGTAATAATTGGTCTGCCTACTTTTGTTTTAGATGCAGTATGAGGTACAATAATAGGCGCTTCCAGCTGAGAGGCTAAAATATCACCTCTATTGCCAATAGAAAATACAGTGCCCCTGTTTTTTAACGTAGTTTTATGGAAAATACCTCTCCCTATATTGTCTTCCACTCCCATCAGATCATCTTTGGTAGCACCTTCCTCAAACTATAGAATTTAACGAAATTCGAATAAACCTAAAGTTCATTTGTATTCTACACTTACGATTTTGTTAATCTTATTACCTGCAATTTCATTAGTCTTGATGAATACGATTTAAAATAAGAATAATATATTTTACTCATTGTGCTAACATATTCTCCGCATATTTCTTCCGCGACATTACGTTCGTTCGCTAAAATGAATTCGAAGAAAAATTTGTATTTCAACATATTATTCTGAGGCACTTGGTAATTCGTCATTGGCTTTCTGAACTTATAAATCTGTTCTAAAAGATATGTCCTGATTTTCGCCATTGCTTTCACTTTCAACTTTTCTAATATATCTTTCACGTCTAAACACGATTTTGCTTCTTTGAAAGTCTGTTCTTTTACGAAATTTATTTTGTGATTTAGCGTTTGTAGCTGTGTCAAGAATTCTTTTTCTGTTACAGGACAATCCATAATTCCCCTGGAAACATTAGATGTTTCATCAATTTTAGCCAAAATATGATAGTACTTTTTTTAAACTAATTCTTACGCGATCAAAGCTTCAGACACCGTCATATCTTCAATAAATTGGCTAAGAGGACCTCTAATTATTTGTCTATTAGACAGCTGTTGGCTCATTGCTACCGACTTACGCTGGAGATAAAGTATTTCTGAGCTTATACTCCCTAAATCTAATTGAAAGTTCATCAACATTAACTCCATTTTCTGCAAAGGAATATATTTTTAAATTATCTTTTAAGAATAAAGGAACATTCAAATCTCTTTAAAAAACAGCATTATTCTATATTTTTTAGAATATAAAACCTACAAATAAGCAAAAACTACTAGATGTTATCAACATTCTCCTCGTTCATGATACTTCCTTTTAATTCGATACAAAACTTACAATACGCATACATAAATAGGTACAAAATTCTATCTTGTTACTAATATTTACACTGTTAATGAAATTAAGGTATACAGGTCGATAGAATATGAATTCTAACCTCCAATATGTTGTCACACGCAGCAATTTGATTATGAAGACTCGCTATATTTTCGCTTTCTTTGATGTAATCTTGAATAGACTTATTTTCTACTTCCTTTAGTTCTTTCTCGATTTGCCTGGAATACTGACGCAAATCTGTACCAGTCTTCAGAACTTCTTGGACAACATCGTCTCCAAGATCTTGAGGCAACTGCATTTCGTTATCATCGAAAATATTAGTTTCGCCTGACATCTTACTGAGTTTGGTTTATATCTCAAAAAAATACGATTCTATAAATTTATATTAACTATCTGTACAATTGTATACGATAATTCGCACTAATTTTAAGGTAAAATTATGGCCACCATCTGTCACAATCACCGGCTACCCCTTCACCCTACTGACTGACAGGCATGTCAGTGATAGACTGGGCTTCCCCCGCGGAACTTCCGTGTCTACTTTTTTAATAGTCACAATATGATCAAGGGGGTCTTAAAACGTGATCAACGCGAGATGGCGCTCATTTATCGACCTCTGTGGTGCCCACCAAAACAGCTATTTGGTAATGGTACAGCCATCGGTTGAGATGGTTGAGATAAACAGAAACGAAAAACAGTAGTTACAAAATTTATTTTTTAAGATAATTACTACAACATTATAAACTGTACAGATACAATATTTCGTTCTTTAATTAATCGTAATATTACATATTTGTACATAGAATTAAGTTATATTACATCAAGTGTTTCATTAAATACATTTATATTATTTATCAAGTTTCTTTAGTATATTGCAAACTTCATTTCTGTGCTCACCTACGGTTTCGTAAAATTTATCGAAAATAAAGTTAGTAGATTCTTTTAGATACATCATTCTTTTACGAACTGCATCTAGTTTGTCAATTGCCTCTTCCAATTCTGCTGTAACCCTCTGTCTATCTGGCATTGAATCTTGAATTTCTTTAATGGTCTCCTGCAGAGCTTTTATTTGTTCCTTTAATTTTGTTGTTTCATTTTTAGCATCAGTTTTAATTTTATTTATAAAATTTTGTTTTTCTTTAATATCATTAGCTAGATCACTACTTTCATCTTCTAAAATTTTCATTCTCTCCTGAAGATTTTCTAATTCATTGGAATATAATCGCACTGAACACTCTTTCTCAACAATTTCTCTTTTTATTGATTCTTTTAGATTGTTCATTAAATCAGCTTTAGCATTTAATATATCCATAATTTGGGGATGTAGTATACCTTTTTCTGGCATTTTCAATTCTTCTATATTTACACCCATATCACTGTTAATGTGCATAATAATTGCTTTATTGTATGTTAAAACCTCTTTAGTTAGATTGTTATTAATAGATGCTAATTTTATGTCCATTGTGTAAAGTTCTTTTTGTATATCTTCCAAATGTTTATCAAATTGATGTGTATAATTTTGCAGTTCCGTACATTTCTCTAATATTTTATCTTTTTCTGCTTTAGACATTGATTGCTGTTTAATGGCTGAAAGTAATTCGTCATGATGTTCATTTTGTAAACGAATTTGTTCGCACAATGAATTGCACTCTGTTTCTAATTGATCTGCTTCAAAAGTAACTGTTGCTATATACTCTTCTCTTGCATTTATGTCACTTAATTGCTTCTCTTCATCACTTTGTAAAGATGACAACACTTCTCGTAAATAGTTTACTTCTGCATCAATTTTATTTGCATTTTCTTCGACTGCCTGCAGTTTTTCAGTTTCCTTTTCCAATTCGAAACGTGCATTAGAGAAATCCTCTTCACTGATACCTTGTTGCTCAATTCCTTGCAAATATTTGTCAACCAATGCTTCTTCTTCCTCAAGTTTTGCATCATTCCAAGCATTATACAAATCAAACATTGAAAACAGAGCATGTTTATGAAAATTTGCTTGCTTTTCACTACCCACAAAGGGCAAATTCTCTAAATTATATTTCTGTAGAGCTATTTCCCTTACTTCACAAATTTCTACTAACCAGCAAATCCAGCCTAAAACATTTGGCAATGAGTGCATGGCATTAGCAGTTTTTAACCAAGATTTAGCAATAACACCAGGATAATGAAGTTTTTTTGCAATTTTTGGCAATTCTTCCACATAATTAGATATTGTAAGTGTCTGTTTAATATTCAGCATTTTTATCAAATAAGCAGAAACTTCTACAAATATTTTCAAAGTAACAGGTTTTATGCTACCATTATTATTAAGCATTGAAGTAAGTCCATTATCATTAAAGTATGTATCGATTTTTTGAAGCATGTGAGCTTGATACACCTTGTCTGATAGAGGTCTTGTGTCTTTCTTGGTACTCTTTAAGCCACTACTAGCACGATCTGAGGATAAAGACCTACGTCCAGTTGGAAGTGCAGAATGAATTCTGTTAGAATTTCCAACAGAAAGGAACACAGACTGTTTGGAAGCAGTTTTAGCAGGTGTCTTTGGAGTCGTTGATCCATGACGAATTAAGGTTTTCCCTATAAAAGTAACAATAAAGAATAGATTTGCCATTATTGTTAGTCATCGTATATAACTTTTTTTTAACGAAATTAGACAAAGCAACGACACTTTACCTATTTCCTTCAAATTTGTTCCTCTGTTACTCAATCTGTCGCATGATTGGGCTCGAGGTCTGGGTATATGAGAATTTTCGATCGAAGAAACAGAATTCTTTTGTTTAATATTTTGAGTCCTTCTCGAATCACCCCGTATCGAACTTCTATGTTCCCTCTCAATCACAGATATTCTTACGGGATTCGTGGATGATCTACGATCTACAGAGCTGCTCCGCATTATTATAAAAACAGAAACTGTCCTTTTCGTTCGATAACCGTGCAATATTAAGTTTCATTAAACACATAAGATTGTACAATTTCAAAGTCTTGCAACTGTTTTAAACTAAACGTTTTAAATTTAATCGTTGCACGGTAGCGAACTCTGTGTACTACTTGCATACTTTTGAGTCGCAAGTATGGCTGCCGTCGTCCGTTATTTACTAATCAGATTCACTAGATGTTACCAATTCTATTCAAATTATAATTATTATTCCACTATATTTAAATCAACGTACTTCTCTATATATCTAAATATATTTTTATTGTACAAAATAAATATACGCGTTCGTCACAATCCTTTGTAATATCCTTTAAAAGAGAATACAGGAAGGGCTCGATCAGCTAGGAATATATACAGGGTATTTTTCATAAGAGTTTTCATTGGAAAGAACTCTGTGTTGGGAAAACTTATTTTACTCAATTCTGATTATACGATTGCAATGCCTACTTTTTTCTATAAATATTTACACATATGTATAATCGACTATATGTACAATAATTTTTAATTACAGTTATTTCATCTGATTGGTTAAGCGAATGAAAAAAACTATGAATTAGGAACAAGCAATGCTAGTAAAATCAAGAATATTCCCAGAATGAAATACAATCTGATTGGATAACTTGTATTGTGAAATGTCATTTACAATGCCTATATAATTATTTGCAAAAACAAACAATTACAATAATCATATCAAATTAAACACGTAAAATATAGAGTCAATTGTCATTACTCACAATAACAGCAATAATCGTACATTATATAATTAATATATTGCAGGTTACAAATTACTATACATACATATATATATAGAGAGAGAGAAAAAAAAACAAAGTATCAATACTTTTCAGTCGAATTGGAGATGAATTTTAATATAAACTCGTTGTTCTACCTGTCCTAAATATTATAATTAATACATGAGAGTGTAATTGCTTAAAGTCGTCCATGAAAAAGGACCAACAATTTCTTGGTGAAAATAATTATTCAGAAGTTTAGCGTATTAATACGAGCCTGGAATATCAATGGTATATTGATGTAATAATAAAAGATACGAGAACTACATACATATAATCTATCTCCGTCAGATTGGTCGCACGAAATTTACTCGTGGAAAGGTTTCAAATCGGACGGAAGTAGAATCGATACTCCAGAATTCGATAGTGGCAGAAGTATGGCCGAAAGCGGATTTTCATTTCTGCTAAAGACAAAACAGCAAACAACACAGTGAAACTATTATTATGACTGAGTTAAAAGTACTTTATTGCATCCTCTTGTTAACGTTTTTCGAGCTGACGTCACAAATTCGACCGTCCTTACATGGGCACAACAATGGTATGCTCATATTTATGCTATTTTAACGTTCTTCGTTTATACCGCGATAATACACATCCTAAACGTTACTCGTGCATTGTTATTTAACATAGAATCTATAGACGTTAACGTTCAGTGTTGCGTTTCTTTTCCAATGCTCCGTATTATTTCTCTGAAGGTGCAGAAACTTTCGTTTTTTAAGAAAACCGAAACGTCTGCATGTAACTTTAAAAAAAAAAAAACAATGTTACAAGTTCGCTGATAATTCTTTTTCTTTGTATTATGGACATGCAAATGAACTTCTGTTTATTGGTAAAAGTCATGCAAAGTTGTTCATACAAAAGTAACACATTTAAGATTGTTTTCAATGATGGTACTAGTATATAATCTCGTGCAATAGCCGATAAATGTTGTCTAATATTATATGCAAACAATGTTATTACAATGTTAAAGCAATTAGTAAATTCTGAAAGTAAAATTTTGATTATTCCTTATTATGTTGTATGCAAATGCATCCATAATTTTATATATTTTCTTTAACATTGTTGTATAATATTAAATATTTTGTAGCCTTCGTACAGGATGACAATGACGTTCAATATCTTTTGGACAACATACCAATGTCTATGCGTAAGGTTGGTTGCATTACCATTTTTTATGTACACTATATTATTACTCATGTTTTATGGCAATTTTATGTTATTATGTTGTATCAGATACTACAGGTATATAGCATTTACTTTTATAGCGTGTTAAGCCTTAAAATATAAGTTTCTTGCACTAATTACATACAATGTAACAATTCTTTTATTTTGTAGGATTTTACCAATACAGTACATGGGGCTGGGTAAGCATAATACTCATTAAAATAATGGTGAGTGGAAGTAGGAAAGGTTTTCATTATAAATTTCCTTCCTTACTTTAAAAATATTTATACACAGTATTGTAATCTTTTACGGATGATTTGATTACATGTAGAAAACAGTAAAAACAGTTGCTTAAAAATAATTTTTCGTAGAATGATATAAGTGAACATCACGGTCTCATAATTATTTATTGCAAAGATAGTGCAAAAGTTAATATTTTAAATATAAAGTAGTATCCAATATGCATTATAGGGTACAATGTACATAATGTATTTACTATTTGAATTAACATTTTAACCATTTAATCATTTCATCATAGTACCATATCTAAACAATGGAGCTTTAAAATTCTAAACACTGCTTTACTAACTGTGATTACTTCAAACTAATTTTTCTTGTACCTTTCCTATTTTCAATTTCCACTATTAGACGTATATTTAAGGATTGATACCGAATGTATAAAAATCCTGTAACTATCTTTTAAGGGATACAACATCAGACGAAGATAAAGCACAAGATTCGTTATCTCATGTTCATTTCGAACCACATGTTCTGGACTTCAAAGAAAGGTGAGTAAATCACAACTATTATTGATTGTACTCTCGTAAATGGGCTCAAGTACAATGAGGATATTTTTCTCTTTAGACAACTTGGTATACCTCACCAAGAAACTGTGATCTTATTTAATAAAGATCATAACAAAACAATCCATCTTTTATCAATTTCTGGAAGTACGCGTCATTTCTATTCATCATTCTTTCGAAGCAAAGTAAGTTTTGGCCAATTTTAAAATTGATGTAAGTAGCGTCCAATTCTGTCGGCACGTAAATATATCTTATCTATGAAAAGTTTAAATAGTTCAACAAACTCGAAAAGTTAGCAGGATTTGATTTATATAGGTAATCCCACCACTGGGGAACACAACATTTGATGTTGTCTTTCTTGGGCGAGAGGAAGGTGATACTGATACGCATCTTGTTATACATACTGCAGATGGATCTGTGAAATACCAAGTAACTAATTTATTGTACTTATAGTTACGGACTTTGAATATATTTTTCTTTATTAAAAGTACAATGTTATCTTATAGGTGAAAGGATTCAGCGTTAGTAGTCCGTATCGGCTCAGACCTCTAGTGGGTGTTAAACTACCCTTAAATGCAACATTTACTCCACGTATATACATGCACAATCCACACGCAGAAGCTTTACAAGTAAGCGTTTGTTATTAAATTACATCCAAAACTGTACTTTATTTTGGTAAGTTTTCATTATATTTGCCTATTATTATTGTTGTATCATTGAAGGTTCTAGAGATATATAGTAGTGGTGGAGAATTTCAATTGGAATTGCCATCAGGAGAGGCAGAAGGTTCGCGTGAACTGTGGGAGATCCCACCATATCAGACAAAGCCTATCATAAGATTACATTTTAATGCTTACACAGAAAAAAATCATACCGCGTATATTAGGTTTGTAGCATTGTGCGTTTTCTGCCGTAAAAATACTTTGTTCTAATTAACGTCCCTCCGAATTGCAGGCTTAAAGTAAATAACACTTCAGACGTGCTTGTCGTCACAGTTGAAGTCGAAGTTAAAAGTGAGGCTGGTCTTCATTGGGGTGGAAGTACTGGCGTAATTAATTTAGGTATGGGTGGTTCATTACAACCTGCCATAGAGTACCCCATTGCTTTGAAGAATTCAGCGAAAAAGTCATTTCAAATTCTGGTGAGTTATAGATAGATACGGATATAGATTGATCGTAATTTTAAATAAACTTGTTTTTTTTTTTTTACAGAATATAATTAATACGCCAGTTTCTGAAGCATTAAAACTTCATTTTAAGCAAGCGGTAATTCCACGAGATGCAAATATACCGATTGCTATTGGAGCACTTGTCTATGACTGTACGTAGTTAAATTTTGCATCACACTACTGTACTACTGTACAGTGTATTTGTGCATCGTATAATAATATGTGTTTGTTATTCAGGGAAGACTGGATTAGAATTACAACATTTTAAAGGGAAATTAGTGATAAAGGCAGTAAGTCTTGATGGTTCTAGTCAAAAATTAACAATTCCATGGATAGCACAAGTTCTACACGGCGGGCTAGAAGTAAACGCATCAACTACGCATTACTGTTCTCTCCAATCTAATCAAGTGCGAAACTTTAGTGTCGTTAATAAATATAAATTACCATTAGCTATCACGAATGTTACGATGACATCGCATGTGAAGTCACTTTTCATGGTACGTAGATCCGACGTAATTTTAATCGCCTAAATGAAGCACGCTAAACTCATTTCTAACCGCGTTATAAATATTAAATGTTGCAGATAAAAAATTTTATCCCAAGAGTGTTAAAACCCAAACAAAAGGTCAATATATTTTCTTTACAACTTGCCAAAGATAGAAAAGTGGATAACGTGAAAATGAAATCTTCGATTCTAATTCATTCGAATGTCTCCATAACCGAGGTGCCGTTGTTCAGTTATGACGGGAAAGTGATAAAAATTATCCCCGAGGAAACAGAGAGCGACGAGGGCACGATAAACTTCGGCACCGTAGGAAGTGGAACTCAAAACGAAGCTATTTTTGCTCTAGAGAATCAGAATCCGATTAACATAGATTTACATGGATGGGGAGTTAATATATCTGGTACAGTACTGGAACTAATGGGTTGCCAAAGAGCTCCAGTGAATTTTATGGACAAAGAGCTTCGTAATATAACCACGTGCAGTCACACTGCCAATGTAAGTGGATCATAAAAAGTAACAGTAGTAGAGTTATTATCTCTGAAACATTTCTAATTCCGAGATTAAGAAAATATCTCTTAGTTTCAGCATTACATTAAACCTGGTTATTTAGCTATTTTTAAAATTAAAGTGAAAATTCCAATGATCGACGACGATATCATCGTGGGTGATATATTTGTAAAAACAGATTATGAAAGATTCATTTTACCTGTTTACATGCGTGTCGCATACGGGAGCCTTTCTTTAAAGAAACTTATTTTTACGGATTGCTTTCCTGTAAGTATTAGATAATGTTAGTACATCATTCTTCGTAATCTTTCTTTAATAAAACGATTGCCGCGCAGGGGTCAATTTGTGTGCAACAAGTCAAAGTGTATTCGACGTTTGTAAGGTCCATGCAGATAATTCGAATCGCGCCTGTTTATAAAGATAATAGAATAAAATATATTCCATTGGAAGAAGCATCGATGCCTATCATAAAGAAAGGCGAAAATTATGTTGGATCAATAAGAATCGAACCGTCGATTACTTGCAGGCATCATTGTTACTTAGGCTTGTCGTTGGAGAGTAATGGTACGCATCAGCGATACTCGAATAGATTAACATTTTTTTTTTTTTTTAATAAAAATGTACAGAAACTTGACGTAAAATGACGTTTTATTGCAGCTGGCAAACAATGGTTGAATACCTTGACGCTTCCTTCGCACACAAGGGATTCCGATTTAAATTTGTTGAATACGAGATACACCCGTTTTCTTAATTCAACAGGCGGTCGTTCTTGGGAAAACATAACGATGCGTCTAGATACTACCGAAGTTCGCGGGCACACATTTCATTTAAACATTAAACCATACTGGCCAAGCTTATTGAGCGGTGTCAACAACAATAAAAACAAAGTCCCTTTAGTATTTCCCTTGACACAAGTTGGAAATACGTCTTACAGTACGATTAAAATACACAATCCAAGTACCAGCCCTTTAATAGTACAGTTAGTAATGGATTGGAACTATCCGCAAGGAACGCGATTGTATCATTCGTTACCAGCCAAGTATGTATTTTAAAAAAAAATTTGCTTAAGCCGTACTGTCGCGAACTGTACTAGTGTTAAAATACGACTGTGTGCAGGTTTAAATTCCCATGCGTAGAATGTGGGTCTTCAGTCGCAGAGGAATTTAAATTGGAAGAAAATGTGGAAGATCAAAAGCGGCTTGAAAGAACATGGGATGTTACAGTCGCGCCGCAATCGATTCCGTTGTATTTGAAACGCTCGGAATCGAGAACCATACGAGTGTCATACACTCCTTTCTCACCTATTTTATCATCCGCACTTTTATATATTAGGTACAATTTTTACGCGTATCTCTATTTCAAAATATAAATTCGTTGTTTTTCAACGATATACTCAAGAAGTCTTATTTTCGTTTACATATTAGAAATAATATGACGATTTTGGAAGTATTGCGCGTGATGGGGCAAGGGGCAACTGCACAATTTAGATTCGGGAACCGGAAGCCAGGTTCCACTACACCTTTGCTCTTCGAACTCGCCGATAAACATCTAAAAGATTGTGAACGTATGTACGTTTCTTTACTTTGATCCTACTGTTTCAGCAACATTAAAAAAAAAAAAAGAAAAAACACGTATCCTGACAAAACTTAAATAATCGAATGTTCAATTACTCTTGTCACACGTATATTACGAAACACCACGTACCCGATCATAGGCTTAAATAATGATCGATAACGTATTCTCAGTTTTTGTTTTATTTTTGTCCGGCAGGTGAACGATTCAAACGAAATCCCGTTCCGAACCTGACGGTGAAGAGATCTTTTATGGCGAGAAACACGGGCGAGCTACCCATAGAAGTGTATGATTTTTATATAAATGGTCTACAGTGTGAAGGTTACGGTTTCAAAGTGTTGAACTGTATGCCGTTCAAGCTCAGTCCGAACGCGACCAAGAAGATAGAAATAGCATTCACGCCAGACTTCACTTTGTCGCGGATCGAAAGGAAGCTTTTGATATCGACGAGCTTAGGTTCGGACAGCGACATCGAAAACGGTGTAGTGACGCTCAATTTACTCGCGACTCTTCCGCCGCAATCGTTAGAAGATTGCACAGCGTCACTAGCGAGACCATCGTGGGAGTACGCTGTGCAATGGGCTGCCATGAGCCTCTCGTCGGTACTGTTAATATACGTCCTCGCGATTTCGTTTCTCGAGGCGGACCGTATACTGCGAGGAGCGTTAGCCAGTTTTTCTAGAGAAAGCGTCGTTCAGCCGCCTTTCGATTTAAGATTGTTGTCGCACATGCCGGTGCATTCGGTGCAAGAGTCGACATCGTTGAAGGAAAAATTGATAAACGAGGAGAAACAAAAGGTGGTGAAAAAGGAGGATTCGCATCCAGATTGGGCGCTGATGAACGTGAAGAAGTACAAGGATAATATGCAGAAAGGGCTGAAGATACCCGATTGGTCCGCGGAGGAAGAGCGTAGATTTAAATTAGACACAGAGGCGAAGGATTTGTTGTCGTTTAAACGGTGCGACGAGTCCACGTTGGACAACAGTAATAACGTTATAAGCAATATCGCACTTGGTGCCAAAAAACGGAATAGCAAGAAACAGAATAACGCGCAGGACGTTCAAACCGACAATTGTGCGACGGAGAACGTGTTTCCGGACATTCAAGGAGCGCAGGAAAAGAAGTATACCGTGAATGCGTTTATGAAGTCAAGTCCTGTCACGAATAGAAAAGGGAAGTCTAATCAAATAGGAAATGTTAAGGAGGAAACGAAATTGGTCGATCACGAGGTTCAAGTGGACACCACGGGGCTCCTGAACAATGCGCGCAGCAGTAAATTGGATAGCAAAAGAAAACAGAGTACTGTTGGAAATAGCAATAACAATCACGTGACCTTCAAGAAATTCGAGTCAAACGGTAGCCAAAGAAGCATTCATTTGTCGGAGGAAGAGACGTCGTCTACGACGACGGAAAGTTCTGTTCAAGACGATCCGCCGACATGTAAGGTGAGATTATTAATCGACGTCGGGCAAAATGTAAACCCGACTTTGTTGTTTGTTGTAGTTCCATCCAAATAAACCGTACGTAAATATTTTCTCGTTGCAGAATTTTGATCAGCCTTGCGGAAAATCAGAAAAATTACAAAGAAAACCAGTGACCAAGAAGACCAAGCCTCAATCAATTGCTCCTGTGCCATGCGTAGATTATAGAGATAATTACGAAGGTGACTGCGACGACGACGAGTACGATAAAGAGAGACAGAATAACCCGAACAGATGGAAAACGAGTACAACAAGATCTACTATAAAGCATCACATTCACACGTCACGTACCGTCGAATCGTCTTTCAAGTTACCTCGACAAAACAAGAACCCTCCTAGGAAAGATAAAGGATCTCAGAAACGCCGTGGCATCGATAAAGCTCACGCGAAAAGTATGTAATTTTTTTCATTCATAAGTTTGTACAATACTAGAATATCAGTCAAATTTTAATCAAGTATCTTATTTTCTAGCAACATCGTTGAACGGAAGCACTAGTCAAAGGGAAGATCCAACGCGGACATTGGGTACAATTTCTGCTCCATTACCACCACCGCCCTCGTGCTGGGGTGAAAACAGAGCCAGATTCAGTGATGTTGTGGCAAGGAATCAAGAGAGTATTTCACCGTTCCCGAGCTTAAATAAATTACACAAACCTCAAACGACCACACATAATTTGTCGATGGTCTTCGCTAACGACACCAAAGATGTAGATTATGCTAAACAGGAATCGAGTCAGGAGCTAATGCAAAGTACGAATGAATACAGAATGGTATCCATGTCTCCACCTCTCTGTGTTCAAACTATCGAGAAGGAAAAGACATTTAGTCAAGATTCCTTGAAAATGCAGAACTGCTCGCAGCATTCAAATAGTTACTTTATGAATGCTTTTACAGAGCCACCAGTAAGTGAACTATAACTTAGTTATTTTATATGAATTTCGAATTTGCTTTCTATTTATGATGTGTATTATGATCGATTGCTTTTCAGTTTGAACGAGAATTGGTGCCGTACGATGATCTTCCAGAAACGGATGAACCTTTAATGGAACTAGAGAGCCCTGAGGAAGACACGCGATGTCAGTTATGGGAAGACAATAATCCCGTGTTTAATTTACTGTCCGACGGAACAAATGGATTTCAATTGGAACCGCCAAAATCCTCGGAAAAGCCTCCAATGCTAACAGACACTTTAAGGGGTAAAGGCGTACACCGAGAACGTAATGAACAAGTTCGGTAGAATTTTCGAATTTAAAATAAATAATATATTAATTTAAAATTGTAGACAACTGGGCAACAGTCGAAACAAATTGGGAACCACTGTATACGAGGGCTGCAGTGGGAGAAGAAAGAAGTGGTGTCTGGGGTGTGAATACAGGTGGTGTATGGGCTGCGGGTCCATGGGGTGCTGCCACACCACCTGTAGGTTCACAGTTGTCCTCGTTACAAACAGAAACGGATTCACAAGTAAGACGATAATTTGAATCAATCTAACCTCTAATTTGAATATTTGGATAGAATTATATCCAAAAATGATTGACTTCCTTTCACTGTATTGTACTTTAAATTATTTTTATTTTTAGTTGTTTTAGTACATAGCTGCAATTTTAGATTTTCTAAACTTTCCTAAAAATTAATTATCGCAACGTGTTTGCCTCTTAATTAGTTCGAATGTCAACATTCTACTGTACTCTTGCAAGTTCTCACGAAAACATCCAAAGTAGAGAGCGTTCCTCTTTCCAGAACATTATCCTTTTCTATTAATTAATTCGTATTACAGGAGAGATCAGGCTTTGATCCGTTTCGTTCGCTCAGTACAATATGGACGCCGTCATCCACAGAATCTTGGAAAAAGAATCACGAAGACTAATTTCGTTCCCAATATTCCCGATATTGTATCTTGTGATATCGTAGACTTGGTTGAGCGATTTTCTTTTCTAATACGGAAAGTAATAACATATTTATTAGCGACACTTTTGTGATCGATAACGCTTAAAAAAAAGGAACTACAGGCTGGTTTTTGTTATTCATATTTCGCGTATTTGTGATATGTTGTTAAATAGTACCTCGCATAATAATACCGAACATTTTTCGGACGAAATTGATTTGTACTCGTTAAATTATCACGTTATCATTTGTTAATCTATGTTATTGAATTTTGGATGTGGTACATTGAAATTTCTTCTATTGATACAAGATCGCACGTTTCTCTTTTGTTTTTCTTTTTTTTTCGTTCTTTTTTCCTTTTATAATTTCGAGTCTAAATAGTCAATCGAAATCGTATACCTGAATTCGAAGTGAGATTTTCGCAGCAGTTGAGGCACAGGTTAATCGTGACGACGAATATGTAAATTTAAACAAATTTCAAGTTTATGGATTTTTACCTCTTGGTTTCTATCATCTTCGTTTCTGTCGTACTTTCTACACAAAACGTACATAGAAAGTGATCACAATACTCAGAGAACGTTGGTCTTGGTGTTACACAAAAGGTAATAATTAAGTTACTTGGAACGAGTGAGAACTGTGATTTTTATAGTCTTGACTTGTAGAAATTTCTTCGGTAAGTTTTCAAAATATTTTACAAAGTTGTGATGTATACAAAACAAAATAAAAATGTGTACCTACACTTCAAGACTGGTAACTGATGTGTTTTAATAACTTGAATCTCATTTTTACGAACGTTCGTGATGATCCAATATCAGACGTTTTTTTAATTTTTTTAATCTTACTATTTCTGAGTAAGGTAACTTACGAAAATAGTAACTTGACTTGGTAAATTTATTACGAATAAATATATCCAATCATTTTTCTATATTTTTTCTTTTATTTGTAAAAAATACATATTCGGTGAACATTTTTCGTTACAATTTGTACTATAAGTCTTTTGTTTAAAAGGTAAAAATATGATATATAGGAATTTTTTTGGAAAAAAAATAATTTGATTAGTATAAAATATGTAAAAATAGTTTCTTTCTTACAGATTATAAAATTGTCTGTCTGCAACCAGATTTTACCATGGTGCTCGTAACTCGTGGCTTAGTATGTTGTAATCTTTGAAGGAGCAACTGTAAATAGAAATGTTATTTTAATAATAATTTCTAGTAACGTTATAACAGTGCCTTTGTGACTTGTACAACAGTATCAAATTATGTTATTTGTCTCAACTCAAATATCCATACATACTATATTTTCACTTTCGATTTTCTTCTGCAATTTTCTTCTGTTTATCTCGGAACTGCTTGTTCGGAATTGTGGTACACTTTGATGAAGTAGTTTCTCCTTTGGTCTTTGTTGAGCCATTATCTTTTTTAAAAGAAGCTGATTTTCCCATTCTATTTTCCTAAGTTCTTCGTCTGTGAAGGTCATGTTCTTCCTTTTGCTTTTCATTAGTTTAAGTGCTGTAGATTTGTCTTCGGTTATTGAACTGCAGCAACGTACCGAATTTATAGTTTCGTCATCTTGCGTTACGCTGTTGCATCTTTTTAGGTCGTCTTTGTTATCTTCTTTCTTGTATCCATGATTAGTAATTTTAGACGAAACATTAGTCTCGTTGAATGTTCTCGATGTAATATTGGTCCCTTCGGACTCGTCGCAAGATTCGTCGGTACAAAATGATTCATTACTGTAAATTGAATCGTCGTCTGCAGTATCTTTTGTTAGACCTTCGTTATGTTGAACATCTTTAAGTGTTGTCAATTCCTGATCGCAAACGTATTCTTCATCAGTTTCTTCTTCGTCCACCTCGTGAATACTGGGTACATGATTAAAATTATCTTTCGTTTCAGAAAATTGTCCTCGAACTACTTCGTTCGTTAACGTCAATGTATACTGACATTCGCAATTAGCTTCCATATTTGTTAAGCAAAAGGCACGAAAATCGTCGGAATAATTAGATACAAAACGAAAAATTAGTAATCGTAGATAATTTAAAGAATTTATCCAGGTTAAGAAAGTGAAGAGATAGGAACATATTACTATACACTTCTGGTATCCATATCAACGGAATATCATAACAATGAATTGTGCATAAGTTTTGTTACTGAATCTACTGGGTATAACGATTGAAATATATTTTCTTTTTAAAGATTTTTAACATTTTTAGGACAATTATAAGCGAATCAAATTAATTTAGCGATAAATTCATGACATTATTTTCACGTAACTTTAGCAATTCCTTTTCATAGAGAGTTTTAGTACCGATTTCAAATATTAAAAAAATACGTTAGGAAAGGTGTGGCGAATAAACTGTATAGTCTTTTTTTTTTTATACAATAATATATTTCAATAAAAAAGTTTAAAAATAATTATTTAATCATTAGCAAATCCAAATACTTTCAGACTGCCGGCGTCTCTCTTTCTGTCGTAAGTATCTTTGTCATCGCACGCGTATGCTAATAAATATTGTTTCGGATGCCACGCGACTGTGAAAGTTGCTGCTTCCACGGGTATGTCTGTGATCTTTTCGCCGGTTTCCACTTCCCCTATATCTATAACGAGGTCCTCGGACGCCGCAGCTAATAACTGTCCGTCGTAAGAGAACGATATAGTTCTCACTGGCCATTCTAATCTTGAAAATGTTCTTAAACAACATAATTCATCTGCATCCCATAGCGAAACTAACGCGTCCGCCGAACCGGTAGCGAAGTACCTTCCGGTAGGATCAAATTCTATACAAATACATGTCCCAGGATGTGCCTTGATTACATGTAACAATTCTAGATCTGGATAGCTAAGAATATGTACACAGCCTTGACCGTTTGTGAGATAAAAAGTGTCGGAGTCTTTGTTCCAGGAAATTTCATTTACTTCGAAGTTGAACTGTTCTTCTGCGCGAATCTTCATTATTCGTGCATCAATGAAAGTTACCAAATCTTCCTTGTTTCCAACTGCTATTGTATTGCCATCAGGTGACCAGGATATATTAATATTTTCTCCTCTTGTACTGATATTTGCAGTGCATTTTTGAGTTCTTGTGTCCCATATACGAACTGTTTTGTCTCCGCTCGCTGTAGATAACAGTTCTGGATAAAAAGCATGCCAACATAGTTGGTCAACGCTACCACCGTGTCCTTTAAATGTTGTTTCTTGTTTCTATAACATTTAAAAAATAGATGTCGGTTATTTATCTGCGACGACGATACAAAATTTTAGTGGGTATTTTTGTAAAATGTGCAGAACATAAATCATTGGAAGTAATTGATTTTATTTATACAAACATAATAATATAACCTAAAATATTGCACTTGACTAAGTCGATATTATTAACTACAGTTGTAATAAATGGAAAGTAATTAATTGTTGTACATTTTGATAAAATAATAAATAAACATCCAACAGGACGAAACGCAAGAATCGAAGAGAAGCCGGTGGTAGGCGGTTATGTTTATTTACCAAACGATCGGGCCCGAGGGAAAAGATACAAACGGATTTATCAAACGAGCCCGATGCTAATAGTTTTCCATCGCAACTCCATCCTACACTGTGTACTTTAGCAGAATGACTTTGTAGTTCCCTGATTTTGTTGTGGGACTTAAAGTAACTGATTAGTTCTTCAACGCGAGAAACGGACATTCTTGTTTTATTCACCGTTTGTTTCTCTGACTATTTCTAGACATACATAATTTTATAAACTACGAACCAGTTAACGAATAAGTGGCAAAGTAACATTTATGTAATTCTTATAACATTTGAAATCCTATAGGTTATGTGTACAATAAGTTTTCATACACACGGCATAAAAAACATAATGCTTATAGCGTCTACGGTCTACCCTATGACAGTGTGCTTTCAAAAGATTGAGAACATGCCTTAACGTGCAACGTAAGTGCATCTGAATCCTCCAATAGGAGACCAGTTTTCAAAAACTAATGTGCATTGTCCGAAGACCTTTACGATATTTATTATTTTAAGTCGCGAGATATTCTTGTTGTAAAAATTAAAGAAACCTTGTTTATTCTTGAAACGAGCATTTACTCGGTTACAAAGAGTATATTCAGATATTCAGGGATAGAATTTGGCGCCACTGTAGAGCATACGGAAGTTGGCCAGTTTAGTAGCTCTCTAGTAGCAAGACGGAAAACATCGTGATTGTGCTTTCGCTTAGTGTGATCACACCTTAAGAAACGATTAGGGTTTTCTGTCGTACGGTTGCCTAGGTAGCCACAGGCGACGAAATATGTTTAGCGTAAACAAACTGGTTTTCTGACAAGCTAAATCGTTCTGTGAAAATCAATCGCATATGACAGTTCCCGTTAGCACGTATCGACAAAATGACATCTCTAGATTTAAGACAACAGAAACTCGAACAACAGGTACAAGATACGATTAAGCTTTAAACAGTTTTGTGTGCAATAATTGATGAGTGTTTGATTATACGTTTGGATTGCGATTATTTGTTTCGTACGATAGATGTTTGGAGAAATACAATGTTGTTAAAGTGTGGTGCGTTGTACGAACGGGACAATTATGTATTTAATTTTTCTTGTAAAGTGTCTTTATTAATCGGGTTTCGTTACGCATGTGGAACACGCGATTAATTATAAATGAAATAGGAAGTAGGTCACATTTAAATGTTCGTTGAATTTATGTACATCGATTATAAAATAATTGCTTTTCTTGTCATAAGAATCTTCGTAATACAGAAATATATATTTAAGAATCGTTATTATTAAATCATTATTCAAGAAATGAGTTTCATACATTTTGCATAAGTTTAAAATTTTCAACAAGTTGTATGAAATATGTATCATTCTGATGATTTGTTTTTGTTCACAGAGGCAATTGATTGCACTAAAAATGAAACAGAAAAGGCAGAGTGGTGCGGGTGGAATGGTACAAGCATCCAACATATCTAGTACACAGCTTACAAGTCATTCCACAAAGTGGATGAATCCAAATAAAGAACTTAGAGGTAATTTGTTAAAAATGGATATAATAGAGTTTACGTATATTACACATTTAAAAATTATATTCACTGTAGGGTATGATGGACCACTACAGTTTAATATGTCACAGACAAATCCTGAGTTAAGCAGTTTCACAGAGAATAAGGATATGGAAACAATAATAAATGGTACGTTAATATTACAGCATATGATTATACAAAATGGAAGAAAGATATATCTAATTTGAATGATTGCATTTATCTGTTATAGAAGTCAGTCTAGAAGGAGGCTTTTATCAAACTATGGAAGGGGCTGACTGTGCGGACGAGGAATCATCACCTATAGATGTACATTCACCTTCCGAATCTTTACCATGTCCTTCGTCACTTAGAGTAGCACCGTCCGATGGTGCAAGTACCCTTATCAATAGAGATAATAATTCTTCGGTATGGAGAAATAATTATATCTTGAAATCATATTTAAGTTTTGGTTACTTTCCGTTCAGACTGCGTGGGGCGTATACACCCCCCCGCGGCATGGAACGTATTAATAATTTAGAAACTAGCAATGTTCATCGTTTATTTAGAGTCCGGAATTAGAAGGGAACGTGGAAGGGAATATTGAGCATTTCGTGTTACAACCGGCGAATAAAAAAATGCATTATAAGTGTAGAATTACGCGTGACAGAAAGGGTATGGATCGTGGCCTATATCCAACATATTTTCTACATTTAGAACGCGATTATGGGAAAAAAGTATGCATCGATTTTATACGACTATTCGGCTGTTAGCCCGAGAGAAATCAGTAAAAAGAATTTAATTACATACAGATTTTCTTACTGGCTGGTCGTAAGAGAAAAAAGAGTACAACAAGTAACTATTTAATTTCAACTGATCCTACGGATCTTTCGAGAGGCGGAGAGGCTTACATTGGTAAATTAAGGTCGAATCTCTTGGGAACGCAATTCACTGTTTACGACAATGGGTATTCGCTAATGAAGGACGACAAACGGGACGAACGATTTAATCCTAGACAAGAGCTGGCTGCCGTTATATACGAGACGAACGTTTTAGGATTTAAAGGGCCGCGTAAAATGACCGTCATTATACCAGGAATGACGTCTGATCAGAAAAGAGTCGAAATTTGTCCGAGAGACGAATCGGAAACTTTACTTGGTATGTGTTATATAAGCGATTACAATAAAATGTCGATTTCTCTAAGTACAGTAGTATACGGTTGGACTATTGGGCCCTTGATTTAATTGAGACTTCGTAATCGACATTTTACTGTACTTTTAATAGCATTGTTTCTCGTTATTTTTACAGAACGTTGGAAAACGAAAAACATGGACAATTTAATAGAATTACACAACAAGACTCCGGTATGGAACGATGATACGCAATCGTACGTGCTTAATTTCCATGGACGAGTAACGCAAGCATCTGTAAAGAATTTTCAAGTTGTGCACGATAGCGACGGTTTGTATTTTCTATTTTTAGTTTAAACATTTTAACTTCTATAGCGATCATCGGCGGCTGACTTCTTCTTGGTAGATCTGGTGTTAATCGAAACGAGTAAGCGAGGTGTCCAAACCATCTGATTTAATTGATTTTACGTTACAGTTGATTATGTTGTTATGCAATTTGGTCGTGTGGCTGAAGACGTCTTCACGATGGATTACAGATTTCCACTGTGCACGCTTCAAGCATTCGCCATTGCTCTCAGCAGTTTTGATAGTAAGTTGGCTTGCGAGTAGCAACGCAACGCATCATCAAACGAAATGTTTATCACACGTTCGTGGCTAGTAAAGTATGCCAATCAGAATGATCTACAATGGACAATCACTAGGTTCGAATGTCTTTCTTTTTTTTATTTTTTTCTCTTTTTGTAATAGAATATTTGCAATGATAACTGTTCTATCGAAAATCTGACGTAATAATAATCAGTATAAATCGTGTGTTCACTTTTCTTATATATGGAAAACATTTTTAAGTATTCAACGTACGTGTATGGTAGTTAGACCGGTTCACGAGTTTAAACAATTGTAACCGTATCATTGTTGACGCTGATGCGTTTGTATTCCGCTACACACGCAGAGCTTTGTTATCAATCGATTAAGAGGATAATAACACATTACGGGTGTTGGATGATTCACAAATAATATTCGTGGCGATTGATCATTCCTTCAAAGGAGACACATATCATGAAATTTATTAATCGATATAAACCAGAACCTTTTCCATTCGTAACTGTTATAACGTCATTTCGGTCTTTAAAGGGTTTCAGTCAAATCCTTTATTATAACTGTTTGATACAGTTATTTTCAGAACCTTTTCGACCTCTGACGCTAATACACTGCACAATTTACTGCCTCAAAAAAAGAAAATGTTTCTTTGTATTACAAAGCAAACATTAAATTCTATTCTTTTTTTTTTTTTACTACATTTCAATGAATAATTGAATAATTTCAAGAGACACTTTGTTTTGTGTTCAGAAAATGTTAAATTTTCATTCGATTCCCGTGTTATGACATATCTTCGAAAGGTGCACTAATCATAGAGATTATCGTTAGGTGCATTGATCAAAGAGATTATCTTGAAGCATCATTCCAAGTACATATCAAACATATTTATTCTATGTCATTTATGGAATTATCCATTTCCATCATCGACATGTAAGATTCACACGCGTAATTAATTGTTCCAAAAGGATTGTTACAATTAACACGATTAGAAAAATACCAAAGATGCGACTATACTCGCGTATAGTACGGAATGAATTGAAAAAAAAAGTGTTGCGGGAGGATTTTAATGTCGTGCCTTTGTACAATATTAATTACGCGTTTAAAATATATGTATATACATATATATATATATATATATATTGGAATATTGTACAAAACTGTAGCACATCTGTCCGAGTGACTCTTTGCGCCCTATACTCAACATTCTAACAATATCGAGTGTATAAAACATTTAAATGATATCGAGACGCACCAAAATATAATTTATATTCCAGAAAAACTGGAATCGATATGTTAACTTTCATTTTCGTGATTAAAGTCATAACAGAAACTATACTTGATTGCTTAGACGAAGAATAGATATTTGCCGTTGACCAATGTAGTCAATCTTCGCAGTCACGTTATAACTGCAATTGTTTTCATCGCATCCACTACGATGTGTAAAGTCTACAATTATTTTGAGTCTTTTGTAATTATCATTTTATACTATGCAGTTGAAAATCAGTCATATCATATCTAATATTCGTATGTAAGATAAAACAAGATACAGACAAACAGAAATAAGCATAAGCGTACACGAGATCGCGAGAGATCGCGAAAGTGGTGAAAAGTTCGTAACTTTGTAGATTTTGTACATCTTGAATTTTATTTGTAACAAAACGCTACTGAACATAAAAATGAACATACGACTCATCAGAGCAAAAAAACGGTGCTACTTAAAACTGCTAAAAATAATTTGTCTAAAGAGAAAGATCAGTTTATATATACATATATAAATATCTGTGTATAATTAAAAACAGTATTAATATTATTTAAAATGCCAATTGGATATTTTGTAAGTGTAATATTTCATTTTTTAATTTGATAATTTAAATACTGAATTAGTATTTAAGATGCATCAATACCACTTCAATGTATGTGTGCATTAGGAGGCAATTGAATAAAACCTGTAATTAGCTTATCACGTTCAACATTGTAAATCAAAGTGTTCAATGGGTATTATATTTTCAATAATTACCTGAAAATAAATACAAACTGCAAATTTTATTTGCGTTTTTCTGAACCAGTGTTGCCCGATCCAGGCTCGGAATCTGTTTTGGATAGTTCGATTTTTAAGATTTTTTTCAATTGTAAATAAATTTAAATATGATTTAATATAAAAAAGGCATGGCATTTATTCAGCTTTTATCAACAGATACAGTTTGCAATATATTGGTTCGAGCGAGATTACGAATGTTTCAAACATTTGACAGTCGCAAAAGCGTTTATGTTAATTTCACGAATTTAATGTCAAAAGCTATCGTAATTGATTCGGTAGAATATTTTGAAATTGGAATTCATTCTGGCCTGCACTCTTCTCGATCGGCATTTTGCGGCCAATCGCAAACGTTTTTAACGGTATTCCAAATCAAAGCGTTGGGACACGTGAACTTCATTGGCGATCCGTGGACGCATTCATAGTACTGCAAGAAGAATATTGTCGTTTCGAGGGTAACTTTTACAGTTTAGGCAATAACGTCTAAGCGCGAAGGCTGGTTCGGACACGCGATGGTTAAGGCGGGGAAAAAAATAACAAGGTTAGGTACTCGAAAACAAAAGGGTGAGTTTGGATTTGCAAAAGTTGCGAATTTGTATTACGTTCGCTGGGGCGCCTGCGTAATTATTAAAGCTCACCGAATGGCAATCCTTAGAGGGGATGAATTTTTCAGCAGACTCGCAAATTATTTTCTCAGCTTCGTTATCGTTAATCGGCGGTTCGGTAGGTTTAGATTTGTTCGAGTCATCGGTAGTGAAACTGTCGGTTCCCGGGTATGTTACATCTGGTTTATGAGTAGGCTTTTCTGGTTTTTGGGTAGGTTTTTTCGTAGCCTTCGTTGGGGGCGACTGAGTGGGTCGAACGTTGTTATCCGATGACGTTGTGCTTGGTGGCCTCGCCCATTCAGGCTGAAAACGTAGTAAAAACAATGTTATTAATGTTAATTATAATATCTGGCCCAAAAGGACTCGTAATTTCTTTCGGAATTAATCTCTTTTTATCTTTACGATTGATTTTTTTTTTCTTTACTTCAAGGTCATTCATAACTCCTTAGATAAACAATATTGTACCCTATATCGGTACATAATTATTTTATTTTTCGTCCCTGCATGTGATCCAAAGATCCTAGTCGATTAGTGTATTATAATTAATTACCGTGGGCGTGGTTTGGATATTTTTGTCCATTACAACATATCCTTCCAATCCTTTGCTAATCGTTTTCATTAGGGGGTTACGATCGCCACAGAGTCCCTGGAAGTCGTCCATATCGACGGCCCAAACCATGGCGCCACCATATTGTTCCTTCTTGATGAAATCGATTTTGTACTTCACGCTCTCCACGTTCTCATAACCGACCCATTGCGTTTCTGCAATTGTTAGTTCGTTTGTCGAGTATTTTTAACAAGATATTTTCATTCATAAATGACCTGATCGAGCTACCTTGTAACTTGAACCATTTACGAGATATTTGCTTGGACGTTTACCTTTGTAAGTATATGGAACTTTGCCAATGTCGTCGAATTTCTGTGTCCAGTTGCTGCCTGGTTCTCGCAAGCTGGTGCAAATCTATGATAGAACATTTTTTTCGTGACTTTTTCTTAATCGGAACCTCTTTCCAGAAAAATATGGAGTATTTTTATTTTTTAAATTCCACAGGGAAAACAAGGTTAGGTACACACTTCGACCTATTATCGACCGATCGTACCTCGTAGTAGGAGAGAAACCCTTTAGCTTGCGTGTATTCGCCAGGTTCGCCGCCACCAGCCTCCTTGTTAATGTAAGTGCCAGGCTCGTAATTGTGGTTAGATCGACTGAGGCTAAACGTACGTCCGTATAATGGAATCCCGACGATCAGTTTCCTAGCGGGACAACCTTTTTCCTCCCAAAGTTGAAGACCGTCGTGCTGGAGAACCAAACGTCGTTAACACCGCGTATGTAACGTACGTAAAAATATCACATCGGTCATATATTTAAATAAACGAGTCCCTTAAGATTCTTACGACATTCAATTTCTCGTATGCCCATTGGTCGTGTGGTCTACGGTACAAAGGACTGTGCACGTCCGCAAATCCGGCCCAGTTGCCGCGAAGATCGTACGACATTACGTGAATGGCATCCATATTTCTGTGGGCAAAATATTCCCATGTATCTACTACATGTTTTTGCAGAACGATTTTGTTAAGGTTCTCCGATAAGAGCGAAAGAATCATCAAGTAGCCGCCATATTTGTTTTTGAAGTTCCCTCGATCTTATTGTAAAACTCCTTGATAGTTGAAGTTACAAGATCGAATTCGCGTACTTGCACAATTCTGGTACGTGGTATCCCTCGTCCAGACGAAACTTGGCCATTGGCACCGCCATAGTGAGTTCCCATCCCTCTCCTGCCGCGTCAAATGCGCGTCTCAATTCCTCGACGAAGTAGAAAAAGTGGTTTTTGTCGGAAAAACTGCCTCCCCTGTCGGAAGCTCCCGGGTACTCCCAGTCAAGGTCGAAACCGTCGAAACGATATGTTTGCATGAATTCTAGAAAACGCCGCAAGCAAAAGAGAATACCAACGGTTAACGGTGTTTCTCTAAAGGCGTATCATATCTTTAAAAAATTCGGTCTTTATTTATGTGTCTCAATTTCCAGATTAACTCACCAACCACGCTCTTGATGAACGTGTCGCGTCTTTGTTTCAGGCCCACGAGAGCGCTGTACTTCCGCCCACCCTCGCCCCAACCCCCAACGGCCACGGACGTCTTCAAGTGAGGATATTTGGACCTCAGGTTGTTGAAGGCCTCGAAGTTGTCCTTGTCGACGTCCAGCTCCGGATCGAGGATGAGCACCTCCCAGGTGACGTTGCTCACACCGATGAACGAGTAAATGATATGAGTACAAAGATCACCCGGGATATCTTTTACACCGTAGCTACCGACATCCGGCCGATAAATGGCCCAATTGCTGAAGTAACATACTATTCTGGCGGGCTGGTTCGCTGAAAAATCGGAAATCGTACTAACAGTCTTAATGTTTTCACCCCTTTGATGAGGTATTTTGCTGTAGACATTCGTTGCATAGTCGTAGTTAAATGGATTATAAGTTAGTGAGAGATTCTAATCTGAAACACATATCGAGAGAAGTTTCATCTCGTGGAGGGTCCTTTGGAGTTGCCTGTCGCACGGTTCGCGGCACAGTGATATTCTGCGCAGCTGCGTCGCGCAGCGCGTGAGGGGATTGGCGCGCGAGTCGAGTCACGCGTCGAGAAGTAGGGGTAGCGTCTAGCGAGGGACTCCCCGCGCTCAGTTGTCTTGAATCCGTGCAATGGGGTATATGTCTCGGGTCATTGTCTCGGACATAAACAAATCGTATTGCAGGAAGAAAGATCAGATTCGAGGTAAGGAGACTGTGGTACTACGAGTAAGTAACATAACGTAAATAAGAAACACTGGTCTGGTATGCGTGCAATAAAGTACGACAAGTAGAAAAGAACATTAATGGTCAGACGCTCTAGCCAAATTTTCAAATTCGATTATATCGGAAACGAAGGCTCGAACGAACAAATGTCATTCGTTCTTTTCGACGTACTTTTACACGTAGAATCGTTCACTGCCCGGTTGTACCACTCTTCTCGTCTCAATCTGTACGATCGAAGAAAGCTGTTCCTTCGTATAAAAAGGAACAGCTCTATTCATTCATGCGTCGAATTTCGCTCGAACTTATTGGCGAATCCAATATATTTATTATCGAGAACTGGAACACGACTCTGGGAAATATATCGCGTTTTATCTTATCTATATAAGACTCACCTGTCGCGCAAGCAAGGACCGCAAGAAGTATAGGAAATACGAGACACTTTCCGGACGTCATTTTCGAAGCTGGAAATCATTAGATATCATTAGAACATTTTCTGAGCACGTACTATGAGGCAACTGAGAAAATTAACATGCATTTTGAAGTCACTTTATCCAAGCATGCAAATACAAACACATTTTGATCAGTTCCACTGCTTCATCGACAACTATATAACGAAGAGCTGTTATTATTATATTTTAATAAGTCTGGATTTCAGAAACGGGAATATTTCCGAGCGGGGCGTCACTTGTATTTCACACTGTCCGCGCCAAGAATAAACTCGAATGATTCTTTTCAGAAGCGATCTAGACGTGTCGATCGATGCACGTTAGGCCAGCGTCTGCTTGGATCGAGTAGTCAGTGTCCACGTATAAGTATTTGTCGGGGACCAACGTCTTCTAGACGATTTGATTGGCAGTTACCCGGGTGGTGGGCACTGTGATCATTTCATTGACGACTTCGTTCTTCAAACGGGGGAACGGTTCACGGTGAATCATAAAATTATCGACACGCTTGTATACAGCGAATAGCAAAAGTGAACCAGCAATAATACTCTTCTAGAAAAAGATACTATATTTGCACGGTTATGATTCAACGAATATGTATTACACGCGTTATTTCATGCTGATTAATTGACTGGTTATAAGAGCGTATTGGTTAATTTATATATACAGCTAATCTCGTGTTATATCAGCGTCTAAAACACGAGACGTTCGGTGAGGGATCGCGTCGGGAATGGTTGGCGTTTCATTGATCTTGATCTTGATCCTGAGATTCTCCGTGGCGGTGAAATCGCGGCTAAAGACTGAAAGTCATCGAATTCGATTTTCTCGTTATACTATTTTGCAACGTTCCACTTTGTATGCATTTCATAACGTCGATGGCAACAGCGTACAGTGTGTCAGATTTGAAATTCAGCGGTTCGAACGAATTTAATAAAAATAAATTACAATTGCATGGTATTACAAAACCACGCAAGGCTAATATTTGAGCATTTATAAAACGTTGAACTAAAAAATGTCGAGTAAAAAGAAAAACAGGTAGGAAGCTTCCATCGAGTCGAGACTCTCGGTGAACAAGTTCTCGCGCGAAACACGGGGCCATCGAAGTGTTAAAAGTTCAAGCACCTCTTTCGCGCGAGTTCAAACACGAGGGCCAAAGCCAAAAGCGGCGTTATTCGAGGCACACGCGTGGAATGATTCCCTTGCTAAAACCGGAGTGTGTTTTGTTGTACGTTTTTCAGATTTCCATCGCGGTAACGCGATCGTAAAAACTGTTCACCCCTCGGCGGAGCCAGAACCGGGCGAATTGGCCGATAAAATCCGCGTCGACGTCGGTTCCCTTTCTCGTTGAACGAAATCATTGATAACGTACCGGTTCCACTCGTTTTCAGCAACGTCGACGACCTTAGTGGCCAAAAATATATGTTTCTTTTAAGGAACCAAACGTATTTCGTCGACGTTCCCCCTTGTTAATGAATATTTATCGCCGGGAATGAAAAAGTTAGGGCGCAACCGGTCCCCGTAAAAGCAACAGTCAGTATCGTAAATTGTTCTCGATGGAATTGCAATTAGAAATTGCAAATAGAAATTTATACGATAACAGAGATATTTCTATCAACGCGAGATTGGTTGGATATCCGACGGCGTGCAATCACGACCGCAAACAATCGAAATCGAACGCTTCCTTTCCGGCCGTTGCTCTTGGAAAGTGCTTCATTTCCGCGCTGAAAAATAACGCGAAAGAAAATCAACCGAACGCAACGTACTAGCGTGTTCTTGACACTCACCGGTGCGCAATGATCGATCTCGTGAACCTAGGCGGAGAAAACTGCAACGGTGCAGAGATAAGAGATAACAGAACCGCCATAAAATTAATCGATAATCGATTGCGAGAGGCTGGATAAAACATCCGGTGGAAAATCGTTGTGTCGACTGGAGGACTGGAAAGGGTCGAGTATCGAGAAGGTATCGGCAATCGATAGTCCAGTCCGCGATGTTGTTTTTTTTTAAAACGCGAATCGTTTCCCGTTGGTCGTCTCTCGCCTCGTCCGAGCGTACCGGAACGGAATGACAATCGAATACGGGTCCTGGAAGACAAAGAAGACGCCACGGACAAAGAGCTTCGAATGAAGATCAAAGACCCGTCCTTGGTATTCGAGTTTCGCGTGAAATGAAAGAGCTAGATAATGGTATCCGCTCGGCGAAAATAAAGAAGGAAACTCAGACCGCTGAGTCGTCGCGGCTTTTTCGTCGCGGGAATTAAAATGCAGGGTGCATCGGAACCTTCGGCTACTATTCCGTTGGATGCGCACGGAATACGAACGACGACCGATCGGAAACTCCGGGGAACCTCCGTCTATCGAGATAACAACGCTACGAGATAAACAAATTAAAAGAAACTGAATCGAATGAAAATTAAGCTGTCTATCGCCTCCCCCTCGAACGGGCCCTGATCGTAGCCTTTTGATCGAACGTTTTTGATCACGGAACGAATACAAATAAAGGTGAACGTTCTCCTTTTACGTCACACGCGAAAGATGATAGCTGAAATTTTTAATCAGCATTCTTCGTAGGAAGCCAAACGGAAGAGCTCGCGTTCTTCCCTCCTCATATTCGAGGTTCTTCCTGGTAGAAACATTCTCGTTGCACCTTCGTAGATTCGATTAGCTCGGGGCCGTAAAGAAATCACGATCGCCTTTCGTTTAATCTGATTAACCCTTTCGTATCCTAGATTTGTTCGCTTATCAAATTATTCTCCAACGTGATTCTTTCGCCAATGACGAGTGAGACAAATAAAGAACGCGAACGAAATATTCATAGTATGACGAACGGTCTTATTACCATAAAAATGAGTACACAGAAAATCCTCGAGGTGACCTTCTGGTCGGAGACGAAAGAGAGAAATTAAAAGAAAAATGAGAATCAGAGGGACCATCGCCCACGCGACGACGTATCACCATAACTCGTTGTTTTGGAGCAGTGGTCGCCTCTGTTCAAGTGGATTTTTCTTTAAAACGTTTACTTAGAATATCCCCCTCCATCCACCCTTCCTCCAAAAAAAAATGTTCAGCTATTGTCTGAAGGTCTCCCGACAACTTCATGAATTCCAGAGGATCTTCCATTGTTAGAAACTAACCAACACAGGCTAGTCCGTAACACGTGGAACCAATTCAGACGTTTATTTAGCACTCGAAAGCGAGAAAAATAAGTTTCTACAAACTTTAGACGCACGTCTATGCCTCGACCTCGTTTCTAAGTTTCAGTGAGTTCTGAAAAGTGTTTAGTTTTCCAAGCATCGGCTTTTATCTTGATGCAAGCTTATAATAGATCTGATAAGGGATTATCGGATTCCTATCGGTGTATAGAACGATTCCCCGCACTCATCGAGATTTCGAATCACAATTACAGTGTTCCAGTTTGCGGAAACGTTGCTCAGCCTTACGCGATAACGTAAATTCATGAAATTCGATGCTATCTACAGCTATATAGAAATTTATTAGCGAAAAATCACTTTTCTCGATGGAACTGTAAAACTTGAAAGACACCCTTTACACTTCTCACACACACACATTTACGCAGAGATAAGTAAAGAGAAGACTCACCTTCGCGGGTACCACAGAAAAATCGTGGCTTCGTCCGATGTTAAGCTCTCATATATACCCAGGTGGGCCTCATTAAAATTCAGGTGCAAGGGGCCCCCGCACGATTGGTTGGTTCGTCGACCCTCTGCCTCTCGTCAACGACGAGGGGGGCGGTCATCGTTCGTCAGTCCAAACTCCTATCGACCGCGAAAACGTATCTTAAAATATGCAATCAACTTCCCTCGTCAGACCCTACATTTCCTTCAAGAAACCACCGAGGTTTCGTTCTTTTTGCTCGTCTTTCTGATAAAAAGTCAGAACTTCCATAGAATGTAAAAGCCTCGATGTTCCAAGCTCTCGGTTTCAGTCGTCGAATCCTCGTAGTCCTAAAAACAAGAATGAGGGGGAGAAGAAACATCGTCGCTCGTGTAATATGGATTTTATTTTATTCGTGTAACAATAACAGTTCCTGTTTCCACAGTAGTTTCTTTTACAGCATAGTATTTCGGCCTTATCGCGGCTCTAACGATCCGCTCGCGGCACAGCTCTCGACGGAAGTGCACGCGGCTCGGTCCACGCGAGACGCTGTTGCAAAATGGCGCGCGAAACGACCGTTCTCGGCGGACAGTGTTTTTCCTCTCTTCGCGACCTACGTTTTTCTTTTATACTTTTTGTCCTCGCGAGAAATGGTCGTCGACTCGGTTCGCCGAGGATCCATCGCGTATTATAAAAAATTATTCCTAACGTCGGTGCCTGCGAACCGAAGAGTTCTCGATTAATAGAAACGTCGTGTCTAATCCTTAATTATCGTGATTAACGTGATACCGTTCTCGGGACGAACGGGGATAGGGGACAGGGGATTGATCCTTAGGTTTAACTGTTTCGTGGTTGCGCGTTAGTTCTCGCCAGTTTCGCGGTTATTGTAATTGACAACATGTTTGGGTGTAATTTGGCACTCTTCGATTTTCCTCGAACGCTCTTTCAATCCGTTCAACAACCATTCAAACAAGCTAGAACGCCCTGCGTATTTCACGATTCCTCCAATAAAAGTTTCAAACTATGTTTCGTTTCGCTGTTTGTCGAGGAACGATATTCGAGTCTCGAGCTTCGAAGAATCGAGTTGCATTCGAATCAGATCAGGATAAATACAACGTGGATGCCATTTTCCGTGGGCGTATAAGTGTTCTTGGGGCTCGTCTGAATACGCTTTCGAGGTCGCAATTTTTAAAGAACGCGGCCGGAGGAATCGACCTTCGAAAAGGGTACGAAACACGCTGCTTGAAACGTTAAAATGCCACGCGTCGAAAGAACCAATGCAGAACGCTATAACAGGACGTTTCTAAAGCGTATACATATACACGTTACGTATTTCTTAGATAATAGGCGATTCGACATCGATCGAGCGCACGGGAAACGATACGCGTTCGTATGAAAAGTGTCGAATAGGATGGCGAGTGTTAGGTAGAGCCGCGTAAATTCGCGCGCTCGATGGCGTCGAACTCGAACTAATTTTGCGGCTGGAAACTGCAACTTAATTTAGTTTCGTCCGTTGGTGTCTTAAGACTATGCATCTTATGGCAAACTAATGACTGACGACAACATTGCATATAACAGAAGAACGTACGAGTCTTATAACAAGTAAAACATTAACGCAGCATGCTTTGCAATAACGTCGTTTAATTTAGAAGCAAAAGTCGTGGTTTTTAACATTGCACGGAAATATCGGAGTTTGGAGCAAACGCAATTGGTCGACGAATCGATCGAGCGTAAACGTTGAGTGTTTCACGCCGCAAAACTGTTCTTGTCTCTCAGTCAGTTCAACATTGGCGATCGAAATTCCATAGTAATCTTTCATAACGTTTCGCTATGTTGCGCCACTCGTAGCACCTATCGTAAACACAACCTTAAACTCTATCTTACTTCTTTACCTTATCGCTAATTTTCGTTTCTCTTACATAGACTCGCGGGTGTTGTAGACCAGTGATACCCAGATTCTTTTCGATACCCGCGTACACCATCACTCGTAATTACTTCAACGAGTAATAATGTACGCACGAACGACGACCAAATTGGAAATTAACGAACTGCTTCGGTAACAACCACGCGGGACATTACAATAAACTTTCAAACAAATATCGATTCGAGTTAACAAAGTGGTCCAAAGGTTTGGAATAGCTCGGTTTCGTAATTTATATTCTAGAACCTATTTAAAGTATTCAAGTAAATGTACAGGGCGCTAGAAAACTAATTAAACGATCGAAGTTTAAACTCTATATCGTTCGAATAATTATGAGCGATACTGTACAAGATAAATCATTACCGTTCGATAGAAATTTTAAAATTATCTCCTCGACGAATTGTTTCGAACAGCAGTCGATCGTAACGACAAGTAACAAAGATTTCGCGCCGAATACGGCCAATACGAAATTTCAAAGATCAAAACGACAAAGGAACCGTAATTGCGTGTGCTTGAGCTTAGGCAAACTCAATTTGCGGGAAACCGTGTCTCCGAATAATTATCTATCAGTGCGCTCGATTCTTTTTTTTTTTTCTTCTAAATAACGGTAATCGTTCGAATCGGTGCCGCGACCCAATTGTGCATCTTAGTTTTACCATTATTACTAACGATAGCAACTCGTGGAAGCATTCTCTTCGAATAGTAAAAAGAGAAATCGAGACAGAATAGCGTCGAAAACAACGTTCGTTCGACGACACTTATCGAATTAATTCAGTAACGCAACAAACTGTTTATAGGCCTCGTCATAGTTATTTTTATTCTACTTACTTCTAAAAGAAAGTTCTCGACGGAGCCAACTCTTTCCAACATATATTCCGAAATTATTGTACAAAGAAAAGACGTGCTTGTATTCTGTCTCGACGTCAAAGAGAACTTCGAAGTAGAAAATAGTAAACAAGAACTACTTCGCGCTAGACGGGGAATCCGAGAATCGATTAAAATAAAGAATACGTAATAAAAAAAATTAAAGGTTTCTTTATTCTCGCGATACCGTGACTGAAATAGTTGCTTCGACATTTACTATTTTCTCTTATAAATAATAATCATTCACCTAGTTCTGTTCGACACCCATTATTACTAGTCCTGGTCGATGACGGTCGAGAAGGACGACTATTTATTATCAGTTTATTTAATCGATGATTATGTACAATATCGACGCAAATAAAATAAAAAGAAAAACACGCACACCTTGTCAGTTTTTCTTAACAATAGCGTAATCGTAACAGCGTGTGCCAATCGTTTGGCGAAGCGTCGAAAAACGTTACTCGAGTAAAGGTGTTTGCTTCTCTGTTGTTCCGGGCTGGCAGTAGTGTTCTTTGTGCTAAAAGGATTCCTTATAGGTAACCATCTTTTTGGCAGCAGTGTCCAAGACATTTTCACCTTACGAATAATAATTTTCTCTCTGCTGGTAGAGCGGTAACGGTGTTACGGGCGAAAGGTCATCGTCGTCTAAGCTCGATTCGGTTTTCAGAGGAAGGGTGGCCAATGCTTTCACTGTCAATTATCAAACCGATCGAATTAATCTTTTCTCACATCGAACGTATTACGGGGAAGCTATTCTTCTCATATCGAAATTAGGAAGTCGAAAGTGTCAACTTTTCGGAGGCTCTCCAATGGACGAATCGCTTCCCCGTCGGAATGTAAGAACGAATATTGGTCGAGGAATAAATCGTATGAAGGGGTATGAATAAAATGAAAGAAAATATAAACAAACCTTAAAAACGATAATATGATGTGCGTGTCCTATATGGGGGGATGGAGAAAGCATGTCAGTCAGTGTGCCTGGTTACCTACACACAGCACAAACAATCCAAACAACACTCACTACGTACGATATAACTATATTTAACGTCGATAGAAGCATCATCGAGAAACTTAAAAAATAAAATAATTACGATAACGCATGCCATTTGAGAGCACTTTGTGTCTTAGAAAAATTATAAATAAATCGATTCGTTAGATAGACTACTTCCGATACTGTAACAAGGTACGATGAAAGAAAAGACACGCGGATAATTTTACAAGCGTAAATCTTCTGCACTAAAGAAACAGAAGGTACGGAAAGCCACTCTAAACGTTGGTCATGCTATCACAGTATCGCACCACTAAACGCAGTGTATTAGATTCGTGCAAAATGAGTCAGACGGATTCCATAAACGCGAATCGAACGTACCTGCTACCATTTTACTCTTCTCCATTACTTGTTTAGCCAATATTTGATTCAGCTGGAGAATGTGTTCTCTCTGTCGCTTCTCCTCGACCACCTTCCTCTTCAAATTGTCTGATTGCTCTATGTTAATATTGTCGTCTGTAAAGGGAATTTCATATATTTTACATTCGTTAAAAATACATCGTCGATCGTAGAGAATTCAGACGCGTACCGCTTCCTTCCGGCGCAGTCACGGTCGTCTCCGACAGCATCTTTCTAATCGCGTCGGCTTTCTTCAGGCGATGTTCCTGCTCCTCCGCGGTTAACTCCGGTGTCTAGAATTTCACAATTACATTCGTCGATCGAACCAGCGTTTTTAGAATTTTTTAAAACGAAAATCTCAACGAATACCTGCTCGGGAATATATCTCTCAGGAATGACGATCTTGTTCGGAGTCCCCAAGAGCTGATCGATCGTGCTCTCGTTGTATTTAAGTTCCTTGTGGCTCAAGGTGGACCTCACAACATCCGGGGCGTTGATCCTCGGCCTCAGAGCCCTCTCCATGTCCAGGTCGTCCCTGGCCCTGCCCATTCCCTGCAGAACGCAAATGCAATTCCTTCAAACCATGTCGAACCATGCCGAAATAACACGTATCGTGAACGAACACATCGAGAAGCAGGGAAAGAACGTGACAGGAAACAGAAAATCAAAGTGCGAAAGAAACGTAAACGCAAATAAAAAGATACCATCTTTGAGAAGGCGTCTTCTAAGTCGAGGACGGGTTTGCTACTGGACACCGTATAATGGCGTCTTTTCTCGCGCGGTATCTGCCTTCGCCTGGGTCCCTCGACCTTCTTCTCCGTCATCTCCTTGATGATCTGTTTAGCGGCCTCGCTCTTGAACACCGGCGACAATTGCGGCGAGTTCGAGGCGTTCACGTTCAACGTGGAGCCGTATTGTCTCTCCTGGGGCTCGAGTTTCGTCGCTGGCGACAGCTCGGGGCTGACCGGGTCCGCGGGACTCTCGTTCTTCCCGGTCGTCGGGTTCTCGTAATGTCTGTACTGCGCGTAATACGGCTGATGGTGGCTCGGCGGTCTGGTCATCGTCGTTTGGCCCGGGTAACTCTGCTGGCTCGGACTGTAAGACGGACTGGTCGAGTAGTTCGGCGAGCTCATCGGCACGTGGGAGCTCGAACCGAGACTCTCGGTGTACGGGGACAGCGTACTGTCCGAGCTGCCGTCTTGACTTTCGAACTGACCCCGTCAAACAAAAGTAACGTAAAGGGACCAAATAAAATCGTCTCGCGAGTGGAACGCCGGTGGGGTAGAACAAAAATAAATGGACATGGCTGACCGTGATGTGTGCACTTCAAGTTGGTTCGTACGAAATTCTCTAGCCTTCGAGTTTAAATTCAACATCCTCGGGATTTATATCGGGGAATCGGAGAAAAATTTCGTACAGACCAACCCGACGTAAAATTCGATTGCGAACGTCGATGAGGCGAATGCGAGTAATTTGAAAGTGAAGGTACGTTAAATTCACAACAGCAGCGTTAACATGCGCGATTTAGGCGTTACGAGAACTATAATCGGACCGACGAATCAATGAACTCGTCATCCCCCGGTTGAAAGGATCGTCCGTCCGATTCTTGGTAAAGTTTTCGATCAATTCGAGGCTCGTTAGCGATGCGTTCGCTTACCCTGACTTTGTTGCGACGAGCCAGCATGGTCCTCAGGGCGTGCATGCTGTCGCTTCGTGGCGGAGGCACGACCGGTCCGTGGTGTATCTCCGGTTGCTGCTGTCGCTGCCCACCGAAGCCTCTCGGCAAGGACATGCTTCTTTGGAACTGCACGTCGTCCAAATCCGTCAGCTGGACTGTGCTCTGAGCGTGAATCATCGGCGATTCTTCTACCACTCTTCCTAATTGAGCCTTCTATAATTAAATCGATTCGAAATAGAGTAGAAGGCGATAACGTGCCACCGTTTCTACGATTAAGCAGACCGTGTATTTAGGGATCGAATCGTTACATTTTATGCGGGTAGCCAGGTATCTAGAGATTCTAATAAATAATGTAACAATAGAAAAGATACGTGAAACGAATCTTGGCCAACAAGTGATTATCTTGAATGCAAACGATTGAAAAATACAAGGTACCTCGAACTTTTGAGAGCCCCCCAGATCGTCGTCGCACAATCTCTTTGCACCCCCAGGCGCTTGGAGCCCGTTCGTTAATGGAATTCCAATGTTTCCTGTCCTATCTCCACGATCGCGTTGCCGTCTTTCCGATTCCCGTTTCACGATTCGCACGGTCTTGATCTCCTGTTTCTCACGGTTGTGCATCAAGCCTTGAAAACATTAACGAACGTGAGCGTTTCGAGAAAACTAATACGCCGTCGTAGCGAATTGTCGTCGTTGTTGCGTCACCGGTCGCGTTGTTTCGCTTACCGGCGAACTTATTGTCCTCGTTCAGCCTGTAATTGTCATTGAGCAATGTTTCCTCGTTCAACGGGGGCGGCGGGGGCGGTGGAACGTATTCCGGCGCGGGGATCGAGGTGCCGTTAATCATGTTTTCCTCGTGCTTGTTGCTATCTGTAAATCAATTACCGGGGATAAAGAAAATTCTTCTAACGATCCTAGGACGTCTCTAAAGAAGCCGAGAATAGACTAGCGCCCCTGTCGCGTATGCAACCCCACCTTGCATCCTGGAATCCGTGTTGACGTACAAAGGGGCGACGTTCACTTGCATCAGGCTCCCCTTGCCTTGCATCTGGTCCTTCAACAGCTGTTGCTTGAGCTGATGCTGTTGAATCTGCTCCCGCAATTGCGGGGACAGCGTCGATATATGGTTCTGCGACGACTGAACGTACGGTTGTTGATTCTGGTGGCGACTGGTCGGCGACGAGTCTTTGATCTGCGCGGGCGACGCAAAGTGCGGATAGGGGATGCCGTTTTGCTTGCCACGGGGCGACGAGGACAAAGCTGGGCTCGAGGGCGAGTCGAGACCGTGGTCCAAAGTAATCCCGGAGTCCAGGTCGGTTTCCAGCCAAGAATTGTGCGTTCGTTTCTTGGGCTGGTGCACTTGGGGAGCTGCGTGTCAATACAGAAAATAAAATTAAGCCACCCGGGACGAGCGAAAATAAAATAACGGCGATCGTGTACCGGAAGGGGGTTGGGGACGAATCTGTTGCACCAGGCTGTGAGATTTTTCCGTCAACTGTCTGACTTGAACGCTTAGCTCCTTTCGTTGTCTCTGAAGGTCCCCGACCAATTGCTGAACCCTCCTCAACTCCGCTTCCAGAGGGCCAGTGGTGGCCGACGTGTCCCTCGCCATGTTCCCGGCGTACCTTCTCGACGCCTGGAGCTTCTGTCGCAATACCACCAGGTCTTGCTCCAGCCTCGCGTTCTCCGCGACCGTCTCCTCGAGTTTCTGAAAGCCAAAAGCGGAGGAGGATCGTTCGGTGCCCTCGGGCGGCTCGTCGCGAAAGCTAAGAGGTCGACGACGATAGAATAATGCGAGAACAGAACGAAAAAACCGTCAACGAAAGGGAAAGCTCTATTTCTGTGGTTTTGATTCATTTACCTGGAAGAATACCGGCTTTACCTGGAAACAACGAATGCGCAATTTAATCCCTCGTACTTGCGAAACTCTGGATTCGGTTCTAACCAGGGCTATGGTTGAATGGAACAATTATGATTGCAAAAAATCAAATTTTTGAACGATCCACAACCCTGGTTGTAACAATCAGAATTCTCAAAAGTTTCTAAATTGTCAGAGACTCTAAATTCCGTGCACCCCCCTCCGAGGAACACAAATTTCTCGGTAGAAAACTTTTCGATTGTAATTCTTTCGGCCCCGGTATGGAGATTCGTGCAAAACCGATTAAACACAGTTGTCGGGGCAGGAAAAGTTGCCGTTCCTGTTCGCAATTAGGCAACGTCTGTTGTTCCGAGTTCAACAGCGTTGTTTCGCGCCGGTGCTTTCCCCGATCGATTCCCATTTGTTTTAATCGGCTTTTCGCTGCTCGACGGCGAGTCAGGATCGCGCGTTAAAGGTCCCAGGACGCGTTTCGGACTTCCTACCTTGGAGTTGTGCGCCAACAACACCCTCACTCGGCTTAGCTCGCGCTCCAGCATCAGTTGCTGCTTCCGGTACCGCTCCGCTTCCGCCAAGTTGCTTCTGCTGCCCTGCAGTTTGTGTCGTAAGCCACCCAGTGCCTTCTCCAGCAGCTCCTGTTCGATAAATTCACGAGAATTTCTTAGAGGCACGGTCCGGTCGCTTGGGACCAAAGTACACAAATTTTCCACTCGTTTTTGCGCGAAAAATCGCGTGGAATTCGCGCGGAGTCGCCATATCGTTGCTCGTAGCGATTATCGGACTTTCCGCACAATTCGAGGCAAAGTATCGACTCGGTTCTTTCGATTACGTAACGTTACGCAATGGCTCCTCGTTTTTTTTATCGCGTCCGAAGCTATAATAAACTCGAAGGCGCAAGTTTCGTGGAAAAACCGCGGATCGCGTTACTCGCCTTGTCCTGCTGAAGACTGTGAAGCGTTCCGGATTCCTCCTGCAGCAGACGATCCAGCTTGTAGAGCTGCTGCACCTTGGCCTACGACACAGAACCGAGGAAAGAGTTAACCTTGGGCCCAACCGAGCACGAGAGTCGCGTTTCAACCGGAATCGCGCGATTCCGTTGAAACCGACCAGCTCGGTTCGGTGTCATAATCGCGCGCTGAAAAAATATGCCGCCTGCATACCAACACCAGCGTCGCGGTGCACTTTTTAATATAATGTTTCATCGCGATTCAGGTTTGTCGGACGACAACGTGACTCATTTGGGGTCCCCTTTAGGCACTGAGACATTTTTTATACTCTGTTCTAGCTGTTATAGCAATGCAAAGCTAATTAAGCAGTTGCATATTATTTTAATCTCGTCATTGTGACTAGGCGTCTAATCCGCCATTTTGACCAGGAACGGCCGAACTATTTGTTCGAGATTGATTTTCGAAAATCGAAGATTTTTAATCGCGTTTATTTACTATTTTGTCCCAAACGTGCGCACAAACTATATAAAGTAGAAGAATAAAACGTGCACGTATAATCTCAGTAGGTACAAGTTCTTTTTCTTTGTCGTCGCGTGGGAACGCGCGGTTTAACGCACGGCACGCTCCTCACAAAGGATTTAACTGTATCGCTATTTTCCAGACGCTATGTCGCGTTACACGAGTCCCTATTCCTCCCCCGATTTCGACGTAGCATTATGCACAGTTATCCGGGGGACTTCGTGACGCTTAATTCGCACTTATCGCGACGTAACTCGAGCGTGTCCCGCCAGACGTCCTCCGTCTATTACGTAAGCAGAATACATTACGCAAACGGGAAAAATAATTTTTGATATACTTTTAACGAGACCAGTCTTTGTCCAAGCTTTTTTCCCGTTCGTCTCCCGTAACGAACCCTTTCATCTCTCCTGCTATACCCACCGGACCATCAAATTTTCACGCTCGTACCGCGAACTCGTCGCAGGGGAAACCCGTAACGAAAGCAACAAATTATAATATTTATTTTTCCCCGACTCGATCGTTCTTCCTCGTAACGTTAAATTAAATTTCGCGCGACTGGGAGCAATTAAGAATTCTCCAGCGGGGGCACGGTGCAGGCTTTGTACTTTCGGTGAACTCGATTTTCGAATTTAAATCCCCATTCGAGAAATTAACCCTTCAAAATAGATTTTCTCTCGTCAGGATAACCACAGGATGTTTATTACAATTTTACTTTTTAGATTTACTATGTCGATCCATGGACGAATCGTGTGATTTTCGTTTTGGGGGTCGCGAAGGGTGAATATTGAAGCTATAGCGTCGCAACCCAACTCCAGTTAGTTTCAATCTTGACCACCCTTGCCGGAGAAGCTCGACATTGAGTGGACGCAACTCTCCAGCGTGGTGACCTCCCTGGAAAATTCATGGAGGTCCGAAACGTTCTTGAAACGCCCCGGCCATGTGGACACGCGAGATACGAGTTAACGTCACTCTTTCCCATGTCTTCGTGATCCTTCTTTACGGAAGGCATTCCCGGGAAACGTTCCGAGCACGAATAGTCCTTTGTTTCCGAGCAGAACGCGAAAGGAACGTACGATAATACGTATTATATTTCACTGACTTCTCCTCCAATTGATACTCTTCCTTTTTCCTTCGTTCGGGAGGCTATTCTTTGAACGTCACCCTCTCAAATTACGGACTTTGCACGCTGGTACGACAGTCTCACAAACGTACATTTAAAACGTAGAACTTATTCCGTAAATTGGGCACGAAAGGATCGTTTGCCTTTTCGAGCCGTCCATTTCCAAAATCTTAGTGTGCTTCCAAAAATTGCAATATTTTTTTCATAGTTCCAATACATTTTTTTGCAACTTGATTTAATTAATCTTACCCAGATATGGGTGACGCGATTATTTCATTAAGAAGCTAAACGAAGATGTATCTAGACAGTGCTCTCGAGGCTGTACGATCATTTTCCAATCGTCTAAAGGCAAAGTTTCGTACATCGTGGACAATTTGAGGGATTTGTTATGGCGGTGAACGCGTTAACAAAATGGCTACCTGCAACTGTCCGTGATCGGGACTCAGTCGGTCCCAGTCGCGTCGTTCCTCGGCCAGCAAACGTTGCTCCTGCACCTTCTGGTTGAACTCCAGACGATGGTCCCTGGTGTTGTCGTGCGCCAGGTCGTGTCGCGAACCCGACACGCTGTTGGTCCCATTGGCAGTGTTGCGGTTGTACAGGGAGCCAAGCTTCACCATGTTGTCCACCAGGTTCACCAACGGTTTGCCCTTCTCGTACTGGGAACGGTCGAAATCTCCGGCTTATTTCGAAGTTTCTTAATTAACCGCGCGCTCGAAAAACTCCCCGGGACCGTGGTCGAAACTTCGACGGAATAATTAAATCCTGCGAAACGACCAAGTTTCCCCCGGCTGCGGAATTTATTTTAGAACTCGTAGCGCGTTTACCGTTCGCGACGGACTTTTACGATTCCTCCGAGCCGAAAAACCGCCGGAAATTTAATTCGTAGCGCGATCCTTTCGCGGAGCACGCGAAAATTGTCGTTAGGCGATTTCTACCGTTGGCCTTTTCAGGGGGAAAAGTAGCGCGCCGCGTTTGGAAGTCGATCTACGATCCTGTTCCCCGCGATCTCGTCGATCGTTTCCACTGTCGCGTAAAACAGATCGTAGGTGCTTTCACCCGATCGCCAGGGAAACCGCGGGGAACGCTGCGTGAAAGTGACTGTACCTGCTTTTCTAGATCCATCAGGTGCTTCTTCAGTTCCTCCAGTTTCTGAAGATTCTCCAGACGTCGCGGCGTGTCGAGCTCTGCCAATCTAGCCTGCGGGTCACAAAATGGATCGACGCTTTAAAACTTGTACGTGTCCACGATCCGCTCGATCGAGCCCGTGTCTCGATCCGTTGCACGTGATCGCGTGCACTTGCGGTCCGGTTTCGCGCGTTAGATCGTTTAATGAAAATTCAACGGACGCGCGGAACGCGCTCGACGAGAGCCAACGCGCGTTGCACGCGTGCTGCTTTTTCTCCTCGTACCCGACTCTCTCGCCACTTGTCCTTGATGCTCGCTTTTTCCGCGACTCTAAATTATAGCAAACGAACCGTGGCTGAACGCGCGACGAATTCGCTATTGACGCGAAATTTTTGCCAGAACGACTTTAGAAACTGAAAGTTACGTTGTATGGAGTTGGTCCGTACCACAGACGAGGTATACGAGCAGACCTTACATCCAATGTACTTTTTCTCAGTTTTTCTCAGTTTACGGGGTTAAGGAACAACTTCTCAAAAATTTTCAGAATTTCTACATATTCTTCGCTAAAATACGCGTTGTTTGCTTTTTGAAACATTGAAATCCTCCAATCCGTTCGGAAGTTATGAGGTTTTAAAGACTAGGATGAAATTTCAGGGTACCATTTCTGGCCTCACATAAGGAATTTTTTTCTCGAAAGTGCGTAGGATTTCGGGGGTATATGTATTGACAAAAAGTGATGGTAACTAGCTCTTCTACCAAAAAATATTTTTTTTACAACGATTTGAAATTCTTTTTGGACCACCATCCATTAGAAGAGGATGCTAAAGTCACCTTCGAATTTTCAGGTCGGTGTGGTAGCCAGATTGGGCTACGAAAGTCCATATGGTATAAGGTCCATTCGTATACTTCGTTGTGACCGTAAATTGAATTAAATTATTTAATTTTCCATGAACAAAACGAGTCCGGGGTCGATGTTGACCCTGAATCTGTAATGTTTGTAAAAATTAGCACTAAGCACATCAAACTAAGTAGAAGTAGTGAAATCAGGGAACATAGAGTCGAAACAAAATTCGTTGGTCGTTCAAGGACATCGAGGGCCCCATCCCCACCTTTTCTGTCTCTGGACCGAGAGTCCTGTTCGTTTGATCGACGTTAGGGGAACTGACCTTGAGCGATCAATTGATTTTGTTTCGATTATAGGTGCAAACACGATCAGCATTCTCACAGAGTGACACAGAAATTTATTGCGAAAGAAACGAAAGAATGGACGAGAGGATCACCTCCCCCTGTAACTGCAACGTTCAATTACTCGGGTGCACGGACTCCGAAAGCATGCAAATTAATTTACAAATTTAATCCTCGTTTGAGATTGTTGAACGTTATTGGACAATTACGAGATCGCGAAGCGTTTCAAATGCCCTTTAAGCGAGGGGGAGAGGGAGGTTCACCGTCTTTGGAACGCGTCCCTCGAGCAAAGTCGATTACTTTCGTCGACTCCGTCATAAATGTTGGAATAAAACATTAGGTGGCATCAATGGAAAGACGATTCGCTGGAGAATCTGTGAATAATCGCGAATTAACTTTCACTCGACGGGGTCGCGTAATATCGATGACACCGCGTAATCAAATCTATTAGACGGCCGTCTGAAAACTTCGTTTTCCGTTTCGACGCCGGTCCCTTCGAGTTTAGCCGCCATTTTCGTCGTGCAACTTCGATTGGAAAAATAAAACGACACGAATGGATCGCCATCTTTGAACGAAGAAAACTATGAGGGGAGAACCTGCGATGATGGTTTTTATACCGTCGAAAAAATAAGAGAAAAATTGAGAAATGAATGGGGATATATTTCGAAGGGGACAATATGAATTTGAAAGATGTTAAGTAGTCCTAAGAAATCTCCTTAATTAGGGCGTCCCGGGCTATACAGAGTGATCAAAGCCAACTGAACGAGCCCACCGGAAATGGATTAGTTGAAAAGTCCACAGGGGGGGATAAGAAATCCCCTTTTCAGATTTCTTTTTCCCCAGAAACCGACATCGAGGACGGGTGCATCGATTCCCCCGGCAAGTGGCGGAATTTCATTCGCCAAACCTTTGACCTCCCTTCAGGCATCGACTACTCGCATTAAAGGCAGACTAAAGGCGAGAGCCTGGACGTCTAGACGAGGGAATAAAGCGAGACCAGAATTCCTCTTCGCCGAGGAAAGTTACTATTCTAATGACGTTCGCTCGAAACGTGTCCTTCAAACCGGTTCTTCGCAACGAACTACGGTATTTCTCCGACGTCCATCGGGATCATTTATCAACGTCCTCGTAAAAAACATCCGGCTCCGTTAACCCATGGAGTTTCGTACAAAAATTTTACGATCCTCGTACTATTCCGAATCATCGTGCTCTGTTCAGCGAGCAACGTCGTCGAGTGCTAATTTGTTTATATCAGCGTAAAAGACTTGGAATTTTACAAAAATAAATACTTTCAGCGGGGAACGAATTACATTTAACGATACGATATCTTATAGCCATTTTATAGTTATTAGTTTTTCTATTTTTCTGCTCGACTCCGTATCTCCGGGTTTTATTGATCGTTCAGAACTCCTAGAGGTCTCATTTTTCTTGTTACGTAATACAGTTTAAGGACTGTCCGATATATTACACAAAGATATTTTTACACGATTTTTCCTAGTTTTGGTCGAACTTGGAAACGCTGTGTCACATGTATGGCGAATAGTTTTGCAAGATTTGTTGAAGAGTTTCGGGAGATACGGGCAGAAAAACTGAAAAACCGTGCCTAAGTATCGCTTTTGTTAAGATTAGGGTTAGAATCTCTGCTTTCAAGGCGAATATGATCTCCAAAATGGTTGGTTCGTAGTAGAAAAGGTTACCAAAGGCTCTAATATCGTATTGTACGGTTTGTCTGGTAGTTGAAGTTTCACTTGAAAGCGACGTTGCTCGAGAACGTAGCCCGATGCTTGTCACGCCTACGAGTGATCGATCACCGGGAGACAACGACACCAGCGATGTTCGCGCAGGGTCCAGCGTCCCCGATGGCGCCTAAATCCTTTTTTTTTTTTAAAACGTCGTCGGACCTGTGCCTCGATTTCCATGTGACAGGTCTCCATAGCTTTGTAGATGGTGGCGTTTTGCCGGCGTAGCTGGATCAACAGGAGCACCAGCTCCTCGTGGGTCCTGCCGAGGAGTTCTCCAGCGGAGACGCGTACCAATCCGTGGGCGCCTGGCGGCGTCAGCTTGTACCCGGCTTCCGGTCGCTGGGAACCGACGACGACGTTACTCTGTCGAGGCATGCAATGGTTTCGTTAGCGTTTCCGGTCGTGTACGCGGGCGCAGGACGTCTGAAAGTGCTCGACGCGACTCGTGGTCGGCCATTCACGTCGCGATCGACGAATTATTATTTCGTTTGGCGAACAATTCGGTGTGTGAACTCCGCAACTCCTATCCGGAAGCAGCTTTACTTGGGGGAGGGTCGATCGGTACTCTGAAAACGCTACGTTTCGGCTAGGGTATGCACGTAAAATCATGCTACTATCGAACGATCAATGGTCGTTGATTAATGAATGAGTAATCGTAGCAGATGTTAACGTGACTATCGTTTTGAACGTTTTTAGTTTCTACGAAAGTGAACGGAAAGGTAAACAAAAGGTTGAAACGCGAACGAAAATCGATTTTGCGATCCGTGATGTCGACTCTTAACACCGAATTATTTCACCACGTTCGTACCGCAAATTATACGTCGATGCATGAGGCCAGAGCCGTCGAAATACTCGGGAAAATATGTTTGCAGATATTTCTAAATTACATACTGTCCGTTGGTATTATCTCTTCGTTTCTATCGTGTCTCGGATACCGAGTATTTCGTCAGCCCCGAGATAAGGTCGTAAACAGTGACTGGCATGGAGAAGATGAAACGAACGGAGGAAAAGTACGGGTAAATGAAGAGTTTGGGTTACGAGTTGGATGTTGTTTCGTCGATCGTGTATGCTGGATGCGTATGAAAATCAATATCTTGTAAACATTACTCGATATGCAAAGTAAATGCTGCGCAAATATTAATGAAACAAAGAATAACAGCAGCGTACCTACGCCGCGACGCGACGAAACGATTCGACGCGTGTTTGTTCGCTCGAGTATGCAGAGAACATATATGTATATACGTGGATAAAAAAAAAAGAAATCTACATACGTATCCTCTACGAAGGTACGGGGGGGTAAAAAAGCTGCCTTCTAAAACGTGACAGTCGTATGCATGAATATGCGCTACATGAATATTTACGAACTACGGGATACAATGCTGATATGCGACCAAAAGTTCCGAGGGACCCCGTAGTTCATACTTTTTCTCTTCGAGCCGCCATTATAAAGTGTAGCGTTTAATTCAGCGATTCTCAATGGGGGGGATCATATATTGCCCCCTCTCGTGGGCCACGCTTGGAAGATTCTTGGGGGTCAGAGACGGGCAAAAGTTTTATCCAGATAAAAGATAAACTGTTTCTATTATGGCATTAAGTATTAACTATCTGATGATCGAATACAATTTTCACCAGCTCCGGAATTCATGATGTAGAACCGTGGGAAGACATTAACGCTGTATGTATACAAATAAAAATATACCATTTCGAGTGAACGTTAAGATTCTAATCCTAATTGTTAGGATGTTGAATACAATTGCGAGAAGCGAACCCCATCTGACACAAGAAAGTGAAAATCGGTATAATGTACTAACGATCGGCTGGGAAATGACCTATAATAATAATCTTTTCCTAACGACCTTAGAAATCGAAACTCCTGTCGATCTCTTTTAACATATTCGCTGACTGGTCGAGATTTAAGCTCTGATCGAAATTCTAATACCGTTTTTTTAATTTTCCCAACGACCAGTTTCTCGTTTCGTGACGAGATTTAGCGAATCGTCCCGAAAGTTCGTCTTATCGTTTCTGATCCTTCCTGTGCGTGAAAGGTCTCGTGCAAGAAAATTCCATGCTATTATTTCATGCAACATTTATCAAAGCAAGTTTCCCTCTTGACATCCCTGACGCAAGAGGTCTTGCAAAACCATGCGACAACATTGGTCCCCGGCACAGAGGTTTTCACATACGAGCACTCGTGTATACGCTGTACTTGACATTAATAAGCATTCACCCATAATGATATGACTTTGGAGTGACCTAGAAGTCCCGAATTAAAAATGAAAGGTCACCGACGTTTCGTAATAATACGTGTAATGGAGACGCAACATGGCGACCGTGGTTCGCGGATCTCGCGCCATCGGACTTTCTCCCGCGGAGGAAAGTTCGAGGAAAACATTTATCGCGACGAGACGAAACACAGGATGCCAAGAATACTAAATATCGTCGATTTTAATCAACTCTCGTCCCAGATAATTATAATTCGACTTCGATAAGCGATCGAATCCGTATAGTTGAATGGAGAAATCTAATGAAAAGGCACCGTGTCAAATTTCGTAAATTTTACAAGAACAAACGAGCACTTCTTCGAAGACCCCAGATAGATTTCTATATAACGTCCCCGTAAAATTGCCACGAGTAATTTTGTAGAATTCTCACATTTTGCAACGGAGGGTGAACGGTGGCACGAAATTCGAGGAAAAGTCGAGCGCGGATTCCGCAGCATCCCCCGATCGATCCGTAAAGAAAACACCCAGGACACTGGCGTCTCGACGAACCACGGAACAAGCAATCCTCGTACCTGTTTCACGACGTTCCTGGCGCAGGTTCCATCAACCGGCGAGTGGATCCCAATCTACCGAACGAGGATCGAAGATCGTCAGCCTTTGGGACGAGAGATCGTGGATGAGAGGCTCATATCGATACGCGTATCCTGATCGACGGAGCTAGCACAATGGAGAGCACTGTAAGGCGTCACGAAGGTGGAAGACTTTGGAAGACTGGCGTGATGCCCGGCCTGATCGGCTCGCCTGTTCAACCGACTCCTACAGTATACCCGGCATGCACCGTGGTTCCTTGCTCGGCTTGTCGAGCCATCGTTTTGTATGTTTTGCCTGAGATCTGGCTGGCTTCGCCTCGACCGCACGAGCCTCTATGTTCCTTGCTTAAAGCGGCCTTTGTAACTGAGATCCGATTATAATGTTCCGCTCCTTTCGTCGCGGTTCAACAATTTCCAACAGTTTCCAAATCTAGGCCATCGCAGAAACGAAAAATATGAAAAGAGTTCACGTTATCGATAATTATCTGTGGCACGACAGGAGGGTGAACAGAGTGCAGAAAAATTAGGGGTCTAAGAATCTTGAGAGTCTCTTTGGCTGGAGGGGTTAGATCGATGGTCGTAGCAAGAGTGGAGTAAAATTATTACGTGCCCACTCTCGTTTCACTTATCCCCGGGGTTAATTGTGTCTAGTTTTACCCGGGTCTCCTTTGCTCGCTTTTCATCTTACACGACGTCGTTTCACATTTTTCCAAGAAGTCTTAACTCTCGCCAACGACGTCTCCTTAAGCCCCGTCCGTGTTTCTGTATGTACACCGGGAGTCGCTTCGAGGCGACCGAGATTTTCGATTCTTTTCGAACTGTAAAGCTCCTCGACTTTCAAACCTTTGAGACTATCTAGATTAAGACTTTCGAGAGTTTCAAGAGCTTTAAGGTTTCCCCAGGACTCTGGAGGCTTTTAACGGTTCGAAGAATCGTCTCCTCGAGCGTCTATGCGAGACGAACCCATTTCTCGTAACGAGTAATTTTATCTTCACGCTTGATCTTTATATAACAATGTTGTTTATGGCATTCGATTACGTTAAACGTCTCTGTTCTCGGATTTATCAACGCTTTGTATGAATTTTCAAATTTTCTTTGATGAAAATCTCGAGAAGGCTGCATCGAGCCTGGAAGTCTCGAGTTGGATTCAAGCGTTGCTCGCTAGGCATCCGGAACAAAGAAACTCCACGAGTACGTAACCAAAGGGTTATAAAAGCTTGTCCCAACATACTTTTCAAGGCAGCATTCCATTGTGTAGGAGGCTTAAGGTCCGTCTGCAGTTCCCTGGCACGGTGCCCTTGCTGACCATTGCTGACCGTATGCAGGATCGAACCTGGCCCTCGGTTTTCTTAATCCTCTTCCCCTCTCAACCCTCTTGGCCAGTTCTCTCGTCGTTCTGCCCTCTCCCTCCCAACCTTCTTCTTCTTCCTCTTCTTCTTTCGTCGTGATCCTCCTTTTGGACCGTTCTCCGCACACGTTGTAGGTAACGGCAGCGGGAGGACGACACTTGTGTCGTTACTTTCTCGCCGAACCACGTCCCCAGATAAAGAAGACCCCAGCTAGGTTTCCAGCCCGGTTCGACTCGAATAGCTATCATTGACTAATTCTCCAGGACCTTAGGACGCGATCACGGGACTCCAACAAATTTTGGAGCGTCCATGTTCGATCGGGATCGCATCAAACGGGGGTTATTTCCGTTTAGAATTTCGAGAAAATCGATTTCCATGTTTTTCAACCGTGCGAAAACGAATTGTGCTTTGCTCATCGGTAGCTCCAGGTCGTTTGGTGGTGGCAATACATTACAATTTTAAAGACGAGACCTCTATTTGCTATTCGTTTACTACCCCCGAGAAACGTCAAAATAGCAGCCAACGAAATCGAGCAAAGTATCGTTTATTCGAGCAGTTCCATTACGTTTATATCCTCGCGGACTTTCCCCGATTGGAGTTCCTTTCAGTCGTTCGATTTCAACGTAAACGATCCACCTGGGCCGTCGCGATTTGAGCTTCATCGATAATCCGCGCTATACGATCGAAAGGTAATTTCGAAGGTAATTTCAGTGATTATACTCTGCGAGATCCTGGCTGAAACTCCGGGTATCCGTTCGCCTAGGATCCCCCGGTCCTTTGAAATCCTCTAATAATAATAATTGTGTATATTCGACGGCAAGGTAACGGGAACTCGTTGCAGGAACGAGAACCGTGTACTCCGTCGCTTGCTCGAGTTCGACGTAACGCGCTTGCAAAGCGTCGTTCTATATTTGCGGAAAGCGAACCTTCAGAATTGTGCAAACTTCTCCCGCAGGAGAGAAGCTCGTTCCCGTTTGTCGAGACTTCGAAATAACCTTTTGTACATTCGTAGAAAGAACCGTAGACCGGCCATTCTGCCGGAAAGTTTACACCTTAGAATTTTAAAAGTTTCGTTCCGCATTTACGTAACATCCTTTCTTCCTCTCCCCGCCGCCGCTTTGACGCAGGGCTCCTTTTTTTTCTCGCCGTTTCTCTCCGCTTTTTAGCTGCTCGCGCGACGTTAATCTCACGGACAAAGCAGAACGAGTTAACTCAACTTTCGCGGCAAATATAATTGCGCCACAATTACGTTCGAGTTCCGAACGCTTGCCTACGCGTTGGAGGAAAAATTATTCCCCGACGTAATATATTTAAACGATAATCAACACTGCATCGGACGATCCGTGCTTCTTCAAAACGTAAGATGCGGTCGTAAATTTTTCTAAACCCGAGCTGCGAGCGAAGTTGAATCGGTTAAGTGGCTTCTAGTTTAGATGCGACTCGCGTCAAGCTCGATTCCATCGCGGCAGCTAAACAGTTGCATCGCGTTAGCCGAATCGGTGAAAATTCTAACGCGCGACACGCGAGCCGGGGAAACTCGCGATCGTCTCGGAACGAAATTACGCCCGGCGGCGGCTGCAGCCAGACAAACAGTATTAAATGGAACCGACGAAATTTCTAACTCCGCCCCGGCTGTTAGCGCATACGCGCAGAAAGACACGTGTGCTGCATCCCTCTTATGCTAATGAATTTCAGCGACAACCAGTCTCGCCGCCCTCTACCACCCCCGGCGCTAATGAAAATACCCGGATACGCCGCTTCAAACGGACGGGATTGAATCGAATGTCCGCTACTCGAGGTCCGCCATCGGTTGAAAGCATCGGACCAATACCTGGGTTTCCCCCGTGAAACGAGAAACGCTACTCGTGACTTTGAATAGCTTTCAGAGGTTTCGTCGGCCGTGCCTCTTGTTCCCTGCCATAATGGACAAAGTCCTCCGATCCTCCAGTTACGCGGATTCATTAGACGCGCGCTCGCGCCTACGATCACCCTATTATTTATACGGTTGCTTCGGAGATCGATCGAGCACTTCGTTGCGCTCTTCATCCTTATTTTTTCGTTACCATTGTTCGAAACGTTTTTGCTTTGGAAACGATTCAATCGCGGAAGTTAGCACGAGTAATTCTCCCCCGAATCAGCTAATACTTTTTTCCTCGAGATCTCTCGTCCCCCTCCGTGCTTTCGACTACCGCCATGCTGTACATATTGCATTGTAAAAGTCTGCGACGCGATCGATCGCGACCTGTTGATCGCTAGAACGCGACTCCGGCCTCCCACCGAGCTCCGACGACTCGCTATTCCACTTTTCTCAAAGTCACGGTACCGAGAAGTCGGGAAATTTGCAACTTATCGAGTTTCTTTCGCGGCCGGGATGCTGTTGCGAAACACTGGGAGCGATCGAACGCAGAAAAGGCGAACGACGCGAAACGGGACAGCGAAACGAGCGAACTCGTACTCGCTCGACGACGTTTACCGTCTTGGGCTGGACCCAGGCATTCCGTTTCGCGCAATTATAGCAGAACTCGAGGCACAGCAGCCAAAGAATTTTATTACACGGAATTTGCAAAAACAACGTCTATACTCACGCAACAATTTATCTTCCACTTTTGTAACTTCTATCTTCGTTAATTGATTCTTCGGATAAAATTGCTTCGTATTGGCTACGCGAAAACAATTTAATTCGCGATCCTGGCTATATCTTGGCCCCCTCTGCGATAATTTCGTTCGCCCCGAGGGTCACGCGACGTTTTAATTAATTGGACTAATGGAATTTACATGCTAGGACGATAATGCGGACTACTGCACACACACACACACACACACACATGAGCACGCTTGTCGAACAGAACTCGAACAAAACTGTAAGTACGTGTGAACGTGCTTGGTCGTCGCGTGACACTAAAATTGTGTACGTGTACCGTGTGATAAATAAAGAAACACAGAGTGGGATTAGGTATAGGGATATCGTATGAGAGGGAGGAGGGATCGTGTGAGAAAAAAAAGCGGCTAAATCAGCTGAAGCCGAGTGGTTACGTTAGGTTCCTTTCTCTTTTCCATGCTTCGCCATGCCAATCAACTCGAAGTCGTTTTCTCGTTGCGCCAAGTTGTCTTTCACTCACCCTCTTCTGCAGCAACTCGTTGCACTCCCATGCACGGTGATTTTGCCTCGCGGCCGCCATGCCCCCGCCGCGGTCCACCTCTCTGCCGATCGGGCTGACCATTTTCCTCTCGACTGGAAAAACGAACGCTCTCTGTACTCGATTACCGTGAAATTTCCCGCTGAAAGGCGCCCAGGCGACCCTTTAGCGCGACGAAATTGACTTTCAATTTCAAGGTGAATTTTAAAGCGTCGCGTTTTTGGAAAATTGCCCAGCAACTTCTTCTTTTTTTCGCGCTACGAATTCAAACCGAATCCGCCATCTTGGTTCGGTGCGCGCAACCCTGGCGGTCGTACGATGTATTAGTTTCTGTAAATTCGATTGGCGGGTGGGTTTTTCGAACACAGGGTTGATAGATTTAATTAATAACATTGCAATTGCTACCCCCTCACGATTTGTAGTAATGAATATGCGAATGTAGCGCCGGTTGCACAGTTTTTAAATTTTGTCTCTGAAAGGGAAGTGAAAATGTCTGCACGATATCGATAGTGCGAGGTCGGGTCGACTTTCCCTTTAATCGCCACCGAGAATGGAGCAAGTTCTATACTCCCGCGGATAGAAATGCAGAAAGGCAGCACTTAATAACCCCCTGCGCTGCCCGGGACAAGAATGGAGCAAATATTGGCTCGATATCGCTTAACCGTCGCTCGAATTCGAGCGTCTGGCTACTATCGTTAATGTTTGTTCAATAACGAATACCCCAGACGCTACCGCGATATTAAACTAAGTATGAACTGTACAATATTTGCATAGAATGATCCGAGATTGTGCCAACAATCCCCATCCCTTATCCTCGTTCAAATATAGATTTTCTCTCGTTTCTTGACGCTAGATTTCTATACACATACCGATAGATAAATTGTGGAAAGGCAATACTTCAGCACGGAAGAAGGGGCGATTAGTTTTCGAGCGAATGTACGCACGATCGAATATGTTCGAAAGGGGCTCGAAGAAGCGTCGAACGAAGTTAGGTTCGTTGGCGTGGCGAATACACGCGGGATTTCTATTATTCCTCGATGCCGCTTTATGCTCCGACGCGGGCCATTCCTGCTTCCCCGTGGATATTTGAATAATTAACCCCGACGGTACGGCAAACTTCCATGCCCGAAACCGGGTCCTTTTCAGCCCAGCTCGCCGGGATTCAAATTTCATCCGTGCACTCCGTCGCCCGATCTCTGATATTAATTCTTCGGGATCCGTGATTCATTCATGGAATTAACCATTTCTACCGCCCTGGGGTCCCCGATTGGTTTCGTTTCGCGTCGAGTTTCGACGAATGCGATTGCACCGCTGCCTCGAATAGAATTTATCGCCGGGCAACGCTTTAGAACACGATTACACGCAGAAACTATTCCCATTTCGATCATTTTTCTACGTTTAATTTGCTTCAGTTTATGCGGAAATTGGAAATGGGACGCAACAATGTCTGCTCGCAGGGAAAAACGGCTGAGCGATTACGCTGGGAAACTTCGAGTGTAAGTACAGGGTAGTCCGACCTAAATTCTAACCCATACGGCGTCGTAAAATTCTTCTCTGGAGAGTAAGTTGTGGGAGGCGTTGCTCGTAAATCTATATGCTACCTCGGTGTTGCTTTTGCTGCGCGAACGCGTACGTAAAAAACTAATGGAAATTAAATTTGAAAACTTCTTCGTTCGGAGCTAATAATCTGCGCGTGAACGAAGCCATTTCTCGATCGGTTCGATGATAGGATTCGAGGCTGGTGAAACCAACCCTTGAGAGATGTTTAAATAAAATCTGTATCTTGTAGCTGGTAATTTCATCCCTTAAAATCGTATCACGTCGACGAGAAATGGTTTCGTAACGCGGGTGCAAGGCATACTTGGACTGTGAATTCGAATGTCGTTGTCGCTGGGGCTGGACACTCGATGGTCGTTCAAAGAAACAACCCTTAAGGCTGCTGCAGGACTGATCAGTCGTTGAGTGGAATGGCCGCTCGGAGACGTCAGCCTCGGGTCTTTTCCTTCGTTGTTGTTCAGCCTGCAATTTTAATACCGAATCAACGATTCGACGAGAGTTACACAGATAGGTTTTAGAATTTAATCGAACGAACGTTCTAAATTTCATACCCCATCGAATATCGCCTTCGAAGATTCAAGGTAAACAGTGAAATAGTAGAAGGATCTCGATAAAAATAATTCTTCTATCTTCGATTAAAAGAGAGGTCCAATAATATTCCACCGGAAATGCAACTCTAATTAGAGTCTTGGTAAAATTTTCTCGGACCTCTAATTTTGCACGAGAGTGCAATTTCGGAGTTCACGACGGTGTTGTAATTAACGTTGAAAAATCGTGTCTGCCCGCGACAGAGGGCTGAAAATACTCTCGCTGGGATGGGGGGGATATAATTTTTGTTTAATTAACGCTTTCCTCGGACGGACGAATCGAACGGTGCTCGACGGAGAGCCGCTGGCGTCGTTCAAAGGTTCACGCTAGCGAAACACCCGGGAAAAATGTGTCACCCAGGGGATTGCGACGTCGACGCTGGAGCTTGTCGATCCTTAAACGGTTTTCGCGCCGTGTTCGTGGGAATTTTTTAAAAAACTCTACGACCTCTCGCCAAACAATGTCGGCAATTTATTCGCGATCTCGGTTACGTCAAAATTGGATTTCTAAGCGATACACCATGTGGTCCAAATTCGTTTCCTGTGTCAACCGTTCAGATATGACGCAAAATATCAGTCCCAAATCTTTCTAGACGAGCGTAATATCGTTTGCATATCCACGACCATTATAAGGTGCACACAAGGGATTGAGATCGAGGGTTTAAAGATGGCTGACGATGTTGGTACTCACATGGCTGAGCCAGTCTCGATGTCGCCGCTGCTGGCAGCTCGCAGTATCTGCGAATTGACGTTCACGTCGTTCTCCGACTGTCTGATCGACTGAGGGGTGGACTGGTGAAGCGGCAAGGGTTGTCTGTGCATGGCGTTGGCCCTCGGCAGCGGTAGGGTGGACACCGCCGTGGCCGGTGGTTGCGTTTGTGTTCTTTGAGCCAGCTGCGACGTGCTGACAGCCCTCGGCGGCAACGGGTCCCTTCCTATCACCGACCCAGACCCGGAAGCTGCGAACAAAATAGTTTTCCCAGCGATAAAAACTCTCCGCCTCCTTCGCTTAAATATTTAGCTCGAGTATGCGCCGAGGATTTCACTCGTTCAAAGGTTTAGGGTCATCGGTGATACGCCGTAAGAGACACTCTCGCGCGACACTTTTCATTTCCGAGGGGCGGAGGAGACTATCGGGCACAACCATCGCTCCCGGTGCAAAATCGTCGAGATAATGCCATTTACAGGATAAATAAGGGAATAATTTTACGCTGAATAATGAGAGTCAAAGTATAGAATCGAAAACGCTTTATTTCTGTTACAAACTGAGTATTACAATTTCTAGTAAGTGGTACAGTTTTGTTTTTTGAAATCTTCTCCTTAATTCTCGTGCTATTTCGAGCACCGGAATCTGGCTGACACAATTCCTGTTGCGATTCGTTGACCCACGCGTCAGCAGGGTCCCTCGAGGATCTATAGAACCATCGGAGATAATCGCGTTGCGTGGTCCCCAATTAAGCGTAACAATCGGAGGCCGTTGCGTTCGTCTAAACGCGGATTATCGTCGGTTTCTCTCGGCGGGAGGCAAGATCGTCGAAAACAGGGGTCATCGGCCCCTTCAATTATCAGGGTTGCGGTAATTGGTGCATCGAAACCAGCAACAGGAAATTCCGCAACGCGCGGAAACCCTGCAAAACGCTTCCCTCTCTCGATCCACTGCTCGTTGTACGATTCGTTATTGTTCCCCGGGGATTCGATTTCGATTCCAAGCAGAATTTCGCGATCGAATTCCGAATTCAGCAAACTTTTTACGATCTTACGCATTCGTCTGTGCGATTCATTTAAATTATATTCACGGTGAAATTCGGCGTTTGTTGGAATCATCGTCGAACACGCGAAGAGGGCACGTTGAAATACCAAGATGGCGTCGATAGACACACGCGAGCTGGTGAACTTTGAGAGAAGAATATTTCCTCTGCGTCCGCGCGGATGAACATTCTCGTAGTATAAATAAAGGTGCGATCGGTGCAAAGTGCGAGCAGGAAATTCTTGCAGTGAAAGTCCCGTGATTGCATCGTTTTTTCCGAGAAATAAAGATTGGCCGTCGCGGATGCAACCGTGCCATTTCGATCCAAGACATCATTGTGTCGCAGTTTCGTACTCGCGAATAAAGGAAAAAAAGGAGATAAGAGTTAGGATCAGATTGCAATTCATCTCTTTATTTATGTATTTATGCCGTGGCTCGTAACAGGTCTGTGTTACGTTTTCCTTTGGAACGCAGTAACAATTAAATATTTGAACTGCTCGCGATTATAGAATGAAATCGAATAGATAAGACAATAGTTCGAATTCTATACAGTGTTTCAATGGCTCGGATAACAGTAAAGGATACACAATATTTAACAATAAAAAATAAGATTAATCTAGAGTGGCCCAACGCGCCAGTAACCTTAATTAATGTTAATCAGATTCAACATACGTGAGAACATCTACGTGAACTCGAACGAGAAAATATTTTTGTCCTTGCACGACCAACGAGATACCCGTGAGAGATACACACGGTAACTATAATTGAAATGCAAGGAATATTAGTCGGAGTAGTTGTTCGATCGCGTGTTGGCCACATTCCGCGAAAGTCCGTCGGAATATTCGATACTTTGTATAATTTCGCATAGTTTCGACATTCTCGACCAGAGGATATCCGTGGAATTGCATTATCGTTGCATTCAGCAATTGATTAAACAAGAAAAGGAGGGTCAGTGGATACTTTACGCGAAATAATTGATCTAAGATAGACTCAACGTTCGCGCCAATCGCCCAAACATGGCGGATCGTGAGGGTCTGGAGGTTAGGAGCCGGTTGGAGCATTTATTTCTCAATTTCGATGGGAAAGAGAATCCAGTTGGCACGGGAATTCCCCCCGGGGCCGTGACTTCCTGGCTGTCGTAGCCGCCGGAAGGTATATCACGGCCGAGGAAATCCTCGAGCGTCGCCGAAATTCCAAGATGTCGCGCGACACCGACGGAGGAAGATGGAGGACGAGGCGGAAAAGGAGGCGCGCGAGACTGGAAACAGTCGGGGTACAGTAATTGAATCTCACGATGGCGGGCTGTTAGCGGCGCGACGACCGGCCATATAATGAGCGGCCGGATGTTCCGCGGACATGGGAACGGCACGGAACGAAATAGAACGGAACTACCGGCGAACGTCTGAGGGGAATTACCGCAGGAACCGCCTCGTTTGAAAACAGACCGCTCCGGAGGCACGGGAAGGGACAATTTATCGCGAGCAATTAACCCAGCCTCCGAAACCAGGCCATCCGAGCAGCTACAGTTACGCAAGGAGCATGATTTCTGCTCTGGGAGGCCGGACCTCCGCTGGACCCTGACTCCCACACCCTTTGCTATAACCAATCTCGAGCAGAAACGTCAAATGTTCGACAAAAGCGAACAGATGAAACCTCGATCGTTCGAGACGCTCGAAATGTGGTCGATTTCTTTCGACAAAGTATTGTTTCCCATTGTATATTCATATTGTGGACTCGTAGTAAATGTGGAGGAGAAATCTCTATAGATGGACCAGAAACTGTTCCACCGGAAGAGACTGGACGTCGATGATCTTCAGCAACAAAGTATGGAACGATTAATGTTTCTCTGTCTTTTAAAAGTAAAACGAAGCGTAGGAAAAGTAATCTAATGTGGAGAAAGTTACTAGAAATATTTCCCGTCGATAAGTAGATTAGATTTAGAATAAATCAAGTAACGATTATAAGCTTCTAATTACGTTGTTCTTGGAGAGGTTGGACGAAGGTTGTAAGAAAAGGTCCATCTTGCTAAGTCTTTGGTATCCCGGCGGGCTGGGTATCGGAAATTTGTCTGGCCGGGGAATAAAGGATATCCTTTGTTCTCCGAATCGCGAATATTCGTCGGGGCGAAGAAACAATTCCGCCCCCACCGGGAGGAGTTCGTTCGAGAGAGAAAAAAAAACTTCGGAAGAACGTTAACCAGACAAAGGGGAGACGAAGCGCGATCGAATCGGGGAAGTTCTATTTTCTCCGGCCGCGTCGAAGATGCACTTAAAAAACTCAATTTCCTTCATTGTCGCGGGAAATCATATTAAAGCTTCGCCTCGGCGACGATCGCGAGCGCCCGGGTAAAAAGAAAATTTCGTCCTTTTATCTGGGCGCTGGGAGGGGAAAAATCGCGTCGCGGAAAGAATGCTAAGGAGCGTTCTTTTCGTTGCGGTCGCGAAAGTCGTTTAACCCGAGGGTAATGGCGACGTAAGTCAATTTTACCGCGCCGTGACGTTTCTATTTTCCGTGAACACCGTTAACAGGAAATTGTCTGCGCCGTGGGAACAGATGCATCGCCGCGGAATGCGTTCGCCACCCCTGGTCCAACGAAATGGCAGAAAAAAAAAAGCTGTTAACCTTGTCCGTGCATCTTCCCCGATATTAGAATCTATCAAATTTCCTCCCTTTCGACGGAATATTCTAGCCTGGGTTAGGTTTGCAGGTTTCGCGAATTAAATTAACATATTCGAGGATAGTGTTTACTATTTTTGAAACTATTTTAATTCGATACGAACCGAAGCAATTATCGAGGCATTACGGTTTCTATCATACTGTTAATCGTTTCCCCTTTTCTCCCTTTAATTTTCGACATTTTCAATTTAACGAGAACCCGCATTTCTCGAATCGCCGCACGGCCGCGTAAAGGCTCGACGGAACAACGAATGAAGCCTCGAATTGGCGAAAAAAAAGATGAACAAAATAAAATATACTCGATCGAAACGTAATCTCCATACGGATAACTTTTTATATTGGCTCCCGGGGCATTGATTCGGCGGTATTTTTCGATTCGTCCATCGATACTCCGCCGTGCTGGTATTTATATAGCAATATCAGTCCTGAGATTGCCTAGCGTTTGATTCTACTTGCGCTCGACACGTTTGATTAATGCAATATGTCCCGTAGGATCGATTCGCCAGGTCGTTTCTGCTCATCTGTTACAACTTTACTTACGCTGCCGTATTCTAAAGTTTTATACGCGTTCCGTCGACTTCCGGTTCGCTCGTAACGCCGAAAATTTCTGACCAGAACCGGAACGTGACGGATAGGCTTCGTTACGAGAATCCCAACGTCGAGCCCGAGCACGAGCACGATTCGAACGAGAACATTTTTATAAACGTCGCTCGGACCACAAATGTATTGAAAATTAATGAAAATTTGCGCGAGAATAATATTTTATCGCGCTTCTGCTCCGAGGTTAACGTTCGACGTTGAGAGATTAATGACGCAACGATAAAGCCAGGCCAGAAACGTAACAAAATGTCTGACATTTGCAGATTACATTCCAGCGAGTCGTGTGCGTGGAACGCGAAGAAAGTCGTCTAAAAAAATTGGCGCGTTGCATTATGAGCAGAAAGAACCGATTGTCCCAAGGATTTACGTCGATCGCAGCTGTCGCGTCTGGAATTCGGTTCTGGTATTGGAATGCGTGACGTCGCGTCGCGGATGTCCGCGATTTCCGCGGATTTATCACCGACGTGTGCTCCCCAGGCCAATAATGCGAACCGTGGCTTTCAAAATCATGCTTTCCAGTTATTGCGTTGCAAAAAACTCCGGTTCCTCCGTCTCTTTTTATTCTCGTTCGATTTTTGAATTACATCGGTTCCAAACTGGACTTTGCAATACGCGTTCCACGATCCATTCGATCTTATTAGTTCGTTATTTATAGGTGTACCGTATTTAGACTAAAATAAAAGCTAATAAAATGGCGAGATATTCCAGTTTCGGTAGAGAAATGGCGATCATTTCAGGGTGCGTGCAGACACAATAGATTCTAAGCTCGAATCTGTAAAGCCTGTTTGGCCTATTTCCCCGCGTATTTCAAACAGAACTCACCGGTTAATTGCTTCGCATGCATATGATATCAAGAAACCAGACAATTTCGTCGTACGTGACTCCCACTAATTACCGCGCCCTCGTGAAGCCGAATAGACCGGGAGAACCGGCTTT